GTTCCACTTCCATGCTACTTCGACATGGTCACAGCTGTGGCCACCCTGCTGAGACCCCTCAGCTGCGAGTCCATCCCCTTCCGAACTTTTTCTGTGAGACCTCGCTCGCACGTTTCACTTGAGGTCAAAACTTTCCGCTCTTTTGTGGAATCATAGCTGGACGAATTGGCAGCTCAGCAGAACATTGGCGCCCCTTAGTGCTCATGAGAACGGCAGAAGCTTTCTCGAAAATTCAGGTCAGTTCCCAAGTTACGAAGACCTCTTCGAACACCAAAAAACCACACACTTAGCTAACTTGCCCTCATCCTGGTGGTTGTTTTGGGACTTCCTCAGACCCGTCTGCCCCGAGAAAAAAAACAGCTTCGTCGAATGGGGCGCATCTCCTCGCCTCGCTTCGTCGAATGGGACGTCCTTTTGATCCCCAAAACCATCTATGGAACTGGCATATTTGACCGATGACGGGCCCCACTGGACGCACTCAAGAAAGGGCGGCATCTCTGGCTCTTCACCCCAAGAAAACGACCCCAACATCCACTCGGGGAAGCTTTCAGTCTGCATGGAATGTCTGGAAGGTCTGATTTTCAGATGTTGGAGGTGGGGCTACTCCTACATCTTCACCAGCCTCCTTTGTATTTGCGCCCCGAGACTCAGCGGAAAGCTGCCCCCAGCTCACTCCAACCATCGTGGAAAGGCATACCGGTCACGCGACGAGGCCCCTTCCTCTACATAAGCAGAAAACGAAGGCTCCATGCATATATTGACGCCTGAAGCCACCCCAAGGTAGGTAAACATCCCGTACATGGAGGGTCTGGGGATTGTTCTCTTCCCAATCAGACCGGTTTTTTTGTCACTTTCATCCATCTACCTCCATGACAAAGAATTCATGAAAATCCGTTTCTCAGACTCAGACTTGTAGAAAGAAACATCGTCGGATCTCCAAACAAATTGAAAGAAAGGACTGGATGGGTGAAAAGAGGAACTTGGAAATTCCTAGCGTCCTAGCTGTCCAAATCGTCAGGCAAACAACTCCCTGTCCAGCACACTGCATGCAACCGGAATGAACACGATTCTTCATAATTCTTTATGTACTGTAACCTGAAGTAGTGTGGTCCAATTGCAGCTCTGTGTGACAATCTTCCTGTTGCTTCTTCTTCTTCCCAATTGCTATATCCCACTTGATCCACTCCAAGCTCTCAAAGAGTTCTTGAATCAACACAGCGCCCAGGCGAGCGGACGCCAAGCCACGCGTCCCTGGTCACTGGCGCGCGATTTGAGCCTCTCCTGACAGGCTGAGAAGCCGAATCAAGCGCTGAGTTTGGGGTTGACCTATGAGCTCAAAATGAACCAGAAAACCCTCCGGCAGGTCATCGATTCAGACCTCTGGTTTCAACAACCTTCCGAAGCAATTCTTCTCGGTGGTGAGAGTCATCTTCTCGGTTTTCCCTTGTCGGCGCCATGTCGCCCAATCCCCAAACCCATCTCACATGGATGACATCTCTGGGGGTGAAAGCGCTAAAGGCACCCGTTAACTACAATGCCCAAACACTCCATGGGACTGCCATTTATGCCGATCAGGCCAGGGGTGGTGCCAGGGGGGTCAATGGGGCGGTCTGATGCGGTATGTATGGCACACATGGAGTGTCTGGGATGGTTTTAAGACGCAACTTGGCATGAAAATTGGTCCTTGCACTAGCTCGAGACCAACCCACGACTGATGCCGTTCGATGGGGTGTTCCTCAACCCAACCCGACTCCTTAGTGCGGGTTGGGCGCCACAGGGAGCATTTCACTAGGGTTCTTGAATTCCTTTGATGTTGAAAACGAGCCATGTCTTGGACTATATCTCCACCAGGTCGGCTGCCGACCATGCCATGTCCATCAGTGTCCATCCGCCCCTCAGTCTCACCATTCGCTATGGTAGGTTGGAGGTGCAAAACATCTCAAGAGCTGGACGGCGTTTGCTGGAAGCCCAGTCAACCAAAGCACAAAATGATCCAACTCCCAATCCAAATAAATCCCCCCACCGGAGCTCCGAGCTCAGCTCCAAGCACCTAGCTCGTCCTGGGCGGCCTTAGGCAGGTCTTGATGGGTCAAAGAAATAACCAAATCACCGACTAAACCGTGACTCCGTAAGGGTGGACTTTTCATAGAAAGTTCTTGCAAAGAACGGCCACTGGCAGCTTAAGACTGTTGAATCCTCTCATCATGGGAGAACCTTCCAACGCCATCTCTAGCTACAAGCTTCTCAGCTCCACTGGGCCTGGAACCAGCAAGTTGCTTGATTCAATATGATTCACTCACTTTCGGCCAGGCATCTTGATTCCCCACATCTCCACCTGTAGCGTGTATCCCTCAAAGCTGGATCCGTTCAGCGCCGCTGCCACCGTCTGCGCCTGTGTCCAGTCCGCAGACCCCATCAGGTCGGTGTTTCACGCCGTCCGTCACCGAGTCAGCCGACCGGTTTTGGGAAAACGACGGCGGTGTCCACGGTGTCCAACGCACCGCTCCCCGCCTCAGAGTTGCTCTTGAAGGCTGCGCCGCCAGTGCCGCTCCGGCCGATCTCTGCATAGAGGCAGGTGACCCCGGTCTTAGGCGTAGCCAGCAATTCCAAGTACACAAGCGCAACTTACCCACATTGAGACTGAGATGGCTTCAGGGGTCAGTGTAAATATATATGTAAATATTCCGTTGGGACATCAAGCCTTGAGGACGGGGCATGAAACGTGGGCCCGGGCACAAACATACAAACCTGCCGAAACGACCTCCTACACCCTACCCTTCCGTTCGGGCACTTGAGAACAACTGTAACGGGTTCTGTAGTCTAAAACCCTTTGTAAATTGGTTGGTTGTTCGGGATTCCAACATTTTCATCATTTCATCAATGGTGGTTAGTGTTAGAAACCTACTAGGGTACAGTTCAAATTTAGGTGCAGCCCAGTCGCGCTTGACATGTGATCCTTTAATTTCATGTTGATGTCTTTGCTGACGTTGTTCTCGGGCATTCCGCCGATAAATACTTTCTTCTCATTGGCAAAGTTTCGAAGGCCTGTGTTCACCTTGCCCATGCCCTTCATCATCATGGCGAGCATCGGGTTGAACATGGGCTGCCAAACGCCAGCACCACCCCAACTGCTGCCAGGTCCGGCGCCCTTTCCACCACCAGCTCCGTAACCCTTGCCACCCTTGCATCCTCCACCAAAGCCCTTGCCACCGTCACCTCCCCAGCCTCCACCCTTGCCGCATCCGCCTCCGCAACCCTTGCCTCCTCCCCAGCCACCATCGCCTCCACCCCAAGCGCCTCCACCGGCAGCGGCACCCCAGCCCCCATCGCTGGAGCCCCAATCTTTTCCACAGCCGCCCCAGCCCATGGTTCGAAACTCACGAGTTGGCTGATTCTACTGGGGGCCTTTTGCTTGGTTCTGCAGTCGCATGCAAAGAACTTGAGCTTTCCAATTAGAAATTAGAATCACTTCTGGCCATCCTCAAGTCAATATGGAACAGTTCCTTGCGCAACCTAATGCAAGCTAAACTATACGGAATAATAGCAACAAGATTAGATCATGCCGAATCATGCTCCAAATCCGAGTTCCACAGGATGGCTCCTTTTTTCCTGTGCCTCATACGTGTAAATGTGCTGGATTAATCTCCGGCTCAGCACACCTATTCGTTTCACAGGGGCACGGTGACACGAGCTTAAATATCACAAGAGGGCGTTCAGGGACGCCTCCGGTTCTTCGTCCTCTCAAGGTGGTGGTTTTTTGCCCCACATATCTATGGAGAGAGTGTGGCCCTCAAAGACAGAGCCATTCAGCGCAGCGCAAGCACTCTGAGCCTCTGAAGCGCTTTTGAATGCAGCACCTCCACTGCCACTCTTGCCGATCTCTGCATACAAGCAAGGAAAGCCAGCCTAGGGTTCTTTGCCGAAATGCCGTCAAAATAGCCATCGCACCATTTGTCTCATCATGCGCTGCTAATAAAAAGCTTTACATAATATATATATATATGCATAAAGTAAAGTAATATAATTCATTGCCGTTTCAATTCCAAGGAGCTGTGGACATGTGATCTTTCATCTTCATGTTGACCTCCTTGCTGACTTGGTTGGCTGGCAGCCCTCCTATCCAAACCTTCTTTTCGTTGGAGAAGTTTCGAAGGCCAGTGGTCTGCTTGCCCATGCCCTTCATCATCATCGCGAGCATCGGGTTGAACATGGGCTGCCAAACACCAGCACCACCCCAATTGCTGCCGGGTCCAGCGCCCTTTCCACCACCAGCTCCGTAGCCCTTGCCACCCTTGCATCCTCCACCAAAGCCTTTGCCGCTGTCACCCCCCCAGCTTCCACCACCACAGCCCTTGCTGCTCTCACCACCCCATCCTCCACCACCACCTTTGCTGCACCCCCCTCCTCCCCAACCGCCGTCACCTCCCCAGCCAGCGTCGCCGCCGCCCCAACCACCAGCAGCAGCTCCCCAATCCTTTCCACAGCCGCCCCAGCCCATTGCGAACAAATGTCAAGGTCTTTTTCTAAACCTGGGGCAGTTTCTGCCTCTCTTGAGCCCGGTCAAAAGAATGCGAAAATCGAACCATGATTATCTGGCAATGACAAGTCTCCACAACCATGTTGCAACCTACCAAGGACATGCTTCATGCATCCGAGACACCAAACATCCTCCCCAAGGAGGTCGGGACATTCAAGAAACGAGTTCAGCTTTACAAATCTTAAAACAGAGTCAACAGGATCAAATCTGACACAGTTACACAGTAGCTCAACAGTTCTGGCCAGCTTTGCCGCTACTGAATCTCAACTTTTTTGGCTGCCCTTCATACTTCGAAGGCGTGCTCGTGTGTCTGATCAGCACACCTAGCAGTGCTGGCCTTTTTTTCGGCGAGCTACGCACATCGACGACCACCATGCAGTGCTTTGCGCAACGCACCTGTCGGTGATACAAGATTGCATGAAGGTCACTTGGTCGCCATCAGGGATTGGATGAGGAAGCCCTCTCAAGGTGGTGGTTTTTTGCCCCACATATCTATGGAGAGAGTGTGGCCCTCAAAGACAGAGCCATTCAGCGCAGCGCAAGCACTCTGAGCCTCTGAAGCGCTTTTGAATGCAGCACCTCCACTGCCACTCTTGCCGATCTCTGCATACAAGCAAGGAAAGCCAGCCTAGGGTTCTTTGCCGAAATGCCATCAAAATAGCCATCGCGTGGACCATTTGTCTCATCATGCGCTGCTAACTGCGCTGCTACAAAAAAGACCTTTACATGTATATAGTAACAAAAACATAGCCGTTCCAATTCCAAGGAGCTGTGGACATGTGATCTTTCATCTTCATGTTGACCTCCTTGCTGACTTGGTTGGCTGGCAGCCCTCCTATCCAAACCTTCTTTTCGTTGGAGAAATTTCGAAGGCCAGTGGTCTGCTTGCCCATGCCCTTCATCATCATCGCGAGCATCGGGTTGAACATGGGCTGCCAAACACCAGCACCACCCCAATTGCTGCCGGGTCCAGCGCCCTTTCCACCACCAGCTCCGTAGCCCTTGCCACCCTTGCATCCTCCACCAAAGCCTTTGCCGCTGTCACCCCCCCAGCTTCCACCACCACAGCCCTTGCTGCTCTCACCACCCCATCCTCCACCACCTCCTTTGCTGCACCCCCCTCCTCCCCAACCGCCGTCACCTCCCCAGCCAGCGTCGCCGCCGCCCCAGCCACCAGCAGCAGCGCCCCAATCCTTTCCACAGCCGCCCCAGCCCATCTTCTGCGTTAGATGAAGTAGGAACAAACGTGAACCTCTTGGTTCTCCCTTTTCAGTGGGCAAAGGAACAGCCTTGGGCCCATAGCAGCTAGCAAAAAGTTCTAGCAAGTCAAACCACGCCTGAGTGAGACGTGAAGAGAATCACGTAGTGATCAGGACTCAACATCGATCAACTGATGGTCAAAGCAGACTTGCTAAGTCCTCTGACTTCTACTCTTCAGCTCCCTGAGTCTTCAATCTATATTCCAATGGGGGGCTCTCACTTGCTACAGTATCAATCTCACTTAGCCCGAAGATCGGGAGCGGTGCATTCTTTTGCCACGGGCTGGGCACCATGGAGTATTTGGTGGACAGGGATCTCCTTTCTCGGCGGCACGCGGACAAAACTCAAAGCTCCACCTTTTCTTTCAGGAGTCCTCGGTCAGCGCGTCGTGGCCAAAGGAATGTAACTGGTCGATGAATGCTTCCCAAAGCATCCGAAGAACACCCGAAAAGTAAGGCCACCAAAAAGCACCCAACACCTTCCAGCACTGTAGCTTGCTCCGCAGGGTCACCATTGTGGCAACAGCAGGGGCAAAATCCATCCATTATCAAAAGTAGGAGGCAACCTGGAAAGTCTTCGGGTGTACTATCCCAGACCATCCATGTATGGAACAGTTACCTACATTAGGGCCAAATGTATGTAACTATTTCATGCATGGATGGTCTGGGTATGTCGCCTCTTTCCCACAAAGCGAGGCCCGCGAAGACTGCGACGAAAGCGGTCTGGCTGCGTCTCCGAGGCTCCTTTTGCCCTGGGGCCGGTCGGAAAAAAAGGACTTCAAAAGCACCCCGAGAGGGAAGGACAGAAATATCCCGGAGCAAATGACCAAACCTGGACCCTCAACATCCCTCAACCAACAAGAAATGTATTCACTATATATTGGGATCTCTTTTCTATTGGCTTCCACCCAAAAGTGAACGGTTTCAACCAACATTGAATGCTAGCGCTGCTCCTGTTCCTTTCTTGATGCGCACACAAGTGGAAAATCTGCAAGCCAAGTGTGCCATCAATGACTCAATGACAGGACTGAGTGGTTCAACAAATGCAGAAATTGCGTGAAAGGCTGACATGCAGTTTGTACACAAGGCGATTCTTGTTGGATAGCAAGTCCCCTTTTCCACCCATCATACCAAGGGAAACCCCTCTGAAGCTCTAGTCGTGTGATGGAGACTCGGTGAAATGTTGAGAACCAAAAAGTACAGAAATCCCGAGTATTGTGCGTACCTGTTTATAAATGTTTATGTGCATGAAAAAGCAGCTTTGCAAATGACATCGCATTACATATTGCATACCAAGAGAAAACGACTAGCAGCATTAGTGTCATTAGTTGAGGGATGCTTCCATCTGATGTAGTGGGGTGGCAAACCTTCTCTAACTCAGCATACAGCTCTTCAAAGCCTGAATGCTAGGAATGAGATACTTTTGTGTTTGACCCTGTCAAAGTGCCTTCACATTGCTGTTGGTTACAGTTAATTTGCAAACATCCAAGTCAAACTTTCTATATACACAGTCTAATCAGGTTTAGATCTGCATGAACTGAACGATTCTCCTTGCTCAACTCCAATTATTGAGATATTTTACCAGAATGTCAAATTTGAACGGCTTGAAGGGTTTGCAGCCTTTTGCGCGCAAAAGTGTTGAAACCATCAATCTATAGTGAAGAACAGTCTTCAGGCTTGAAGCCAGGCAAGGGCGGACATGTTCCATCACCCGAGTGACCTCGGGATATTTCCAACACATGCGGCAGGCAGCACCTGGGGAGGACTCCCTCCTGCCACTGCGCCGAGGCTCTCCAAGAGTCGTTTCGTGGCCACCAACGCGTTGCTGCCAATCTGTGTCATGGACGGCTCCTGTGGCCAACACATCGGGAGGGGCCTAAGATCTCGCAGCCCTGGGCATCTCACCCAGCCTAAGGGGCGATCAGGGCCTAAGCAAGTGAGGGAGTTTCTCATCTCCGCCATCTCCCATGAGTTGAGGTCTCTCTCTCTCTCTCTCTCGTCTCTGTGCAGCACCGACAGTTGAGCTGTCCGCTGTCCATGCGCGCCAGGGACCATGGCCCATGGCGCGAAACGGTCCAGGTCGAGGTCCCCCGGATCAGCCCGAGCGCCTTGTGGCCCGCTTCGATGAAGAACAGCGTGGGAAAGCCCTTGCCGACGTGGCAAGGTCCGACCGAAAAAGAGATGATCAAAGGACTGACAGAAGTAAGTATATGGGGTTGATTCATATTTCACACATCTTCACACATCTTCACTTAAGGCTCATTGTCACAACGTTTTGGACTTCACATGTGCCAGTTTGAGGGTCCAGGAGACTCTGGTAACCCTTCATCGACGCAAATAACCGCAACTTGACCACGAAGCACATTTCAATTACACACACAGTATTTCTGGCGACTCCTTCCGTGAGCAGGCAGTGCCTTGACTTCGAAGCCGGTCATGGGCAAATCATTCCTGGGTGTTGGAAGCGATTCGCTCTGAAACAGCCCCCGGAGCGGCCTAGAGCCACCGCTGTGTATTTTCACCCTGGTTCTTCAGAACCCAAGACCATCGCCAGACCATCACCTCGGGTGATTTCAACCACGGGATGATGGAGGATATGGCGGCGGCGGATCGAGGTTGGATGGTGTCGAGACAAACCACCCGAAAAAGGAAGGCGTTCGTTCGAACCGCGGTTTTTTTGGCTTCAGCGGCCGACATCGGCGATCACAGGGCGACCGTGGTGTTCAAATCACTTGACCGCGCCAGCGGTTCTATGAAGATGGGTGCCGAACTGGAGGATAGGGGTGCCCATGATGCCCCTTCCTTTGGAGTTGAGTCAGGGGGTGAACAATTACAGTATCCCAAGGTTGAACATCGAAATCCCCGATAAGTCACTGGGAGAAAAATCACACCTCTGACCCGCTGGAAATGGACAATTGGTGCCGGGAAGGCCGCTCGTGAGTGGGAGAGTAAACAAGCTACCAAGCAACCACCCTACCTACCCTCCTGGTCTAGGACCTCTGGGTAGCTAGGCTGGTAGCTAGGAGGGAGTAACGGTTGAACATCCAAATGTTCAAAACACCCACCCAAACTCTCTGCCCTGGCTGAGAGTCTTGGTGCCGTCCATCTTTGCCACGACGACGATTCTCTTTAGCTCCTGCGCGAAGGCCTCGAGCCTGGCCCGCAGGGAGGTCCAAGAGCAGAGGTCGCCAGGAGGGGTTGCTGTAAAAATAACGGGATCGCATGGTGGAGTGAGGTGAACAATGGTAGGAAGGTGGTTAGCATAGGAACTCGCCTATGTAGTTCTTGCGGTCCCAAGTCATATAGTTACTGCATGTTACTGCAGGATCTTCCTGGGTCGCATTCAAAACAGCCGCAAGATGCTGCCAATCCTGATGCCAAACCTTTCCTTTGGTTGCGTGCTTCGAGAAATCCCACGGACCAAACAAACAGTTTAAAACGCCCCTTGGCACATTCACAGAGCTTACTACATCGCCACAAGCAGTGGTATGCCACCTGGTATGCCATGCTTTATGATTTTCATGCATCCTGCTACCTATGGGAGTTCCTCGCCAGGTTAATCCAGTTGCCAAATCGTAAGTCCAACGTCCACTGTGATGACGTTGGGAAGGCTTTGGCGTGCAGCGCATGATCCGAGAGAATGGTGACTGGGCGTACGATGGGTTCAAAGGTTTGGCATGGTTATGTTCCAAACCTCCTAAAATCATACATGGGAAATAGGGAAATTACTAAATTATACAAGTGGCTTCCAGCACGTTGCAACATGTTGCAACTAAATGGATTCCTATCTTGCACATCTGCGATCTGTGGCTTCGCCCATGCGTCAAGGCGGTCAAGGTCTGAGGTCCCCGGCTCAGGCATCATCCGCATGCAGTGGGGGCACTTTTGGTCCTCAGCAGTCACAGTACAAAAGAACCAAAAAAGGAATACACCCGTTCTGCTGCATGTCTGTTCAGCACCGCCCAGGCCGCTGAAAGGGCGGGACAAGACTCACCGCGGAGCCTCCATCGGATGGCCCTTCATCCACCGGAGCACCAGGGCACGGTTCTCCGGCAGCGGTAGACGATACATTAACTAATAACATCACATAGTGCAACATTACATTACCATAGATGCGTACATACAGAATACATATTTTACATTAGATTGCCATACATTACATTATAGGAATAAATATACTGGATACATATTTATCATATTGATGATCATTGGGGTGGTTTCTGTATGTTTTTGTTTCAAGGGCCCAAGTATAGGCATACATCATATATGCCATACATGTGGAGTGTCCATCATTCTGTTGGTTCAGATGGTGGGCAAAGGCATAGGTGGGCTAGCCATTTGAAGTGCTGAGGCTAAGGTAGCCTTAGCCGCCTTAGCCCGTTAACAGCCAAAAGGTCCGGGACGAAAAGACCGCCCAAAACCTGAGCTGAGACAGCTGAGATGCATAAAGCATTAAAAGGCAATGCTTCTGCTCATGGAAGACCACATCAACGAAGTTGCTGAGTACCACCGTCCTGAGGGAAAGTGGGACAAAGCACACCATTTCCGGAATTCAAACACCTGGGGTTTCCCAACAACCAGCAACCAACACCTGGGATGTTCTTTTTGTTTCCCCAGTCCCCGCCATTTCCTATGTAAAGGATTTCCAGCTGGTGCCATCGTGGGTTCCAACCAGAACGGTTGCTGGTTGCGACTGGGTGAGGCCAGGAGACCCTCTGGTCCCTGCCACTGAGATCCAGGGAAGAAACGCTTGCGCCACCCCCACCCCTACCAATCCCACATGCCTTGGCCCAGAAACCTGGACTCCCAACCACTCCCCCAGCGACCGTGAGACCCACACCCCTAACCCCCTGCGACCCGTGCCTTACAGGACTGGTCTGCTTGGCTGGCGGCTCCTCCGAGCGGAACTGGCTCAGCAGCTGCGAGAGGCTCGGCTTCGACGCCTGGAGAGCCGCCCGGAGGGCACCGGGAGGCTGAGTACGAAGGAACCGGAGCCGCACGGAACATGGCTGCGCCGAGGTCGGAACAGTTCAGAACTGGAACTAGATCCCCAAATCGCACAGGGCATCCCGATTCAATCAAGAGAAGTGTGAAAAAACATGTTCGGGCTCAGCACTCAACACGAGAGTTGTGCTTCACTTTGGCCATGCTGCGTCCTTCTATGCTTTTCTATCGGTCCAGGGCCTCACCGGGTTTCGACACACCCATCTTGGTCACAAAGGAGACCAGGCCCTCCAAGGTTCGCTCCTGAGCGGAACCAAGTCGATCGGTTTGGGTTCCAAATCGATCCATCTGGGGCATGTCACGCCGTTTTTGGGTGCAAACATGACGCACAAGAAAACTGGCTAGCCAAAAAAACATGAAATGCTATACGAATCTCAAGGCGAACGTCATGTTGATTGTTCATGAATCACATGTTCCAGGCCTGGAGGTGTCCATGGTGAACCAGCTCGGGGGATGTAGGGGTGGGAGCATTCATCAACAGTGAACAACACGTGTCACCTAAACCGCTCCACCTGGGCCAAGGCTCAGAAACCTTCGTAATCTGCTCGCTGCTGGGCGAGAGGTAGAAAAGCGTGGGGAAACCGGTGTAGTCGAAGCCAGCGAACCTCGCTAGCCGGGCGAGCCGGGCGCAGCTCGTGAGCTGAGAAGCACATGGGTTGCGCCAGCCAGCCTTGGAAGATGTTAAATAACCATTTGATGTTACAGTTCATCACTGTAACCATGTTACATCATGTTACTACAAATTTGTTCTTACATCATTCGCTCCGGAAACACCACTTGTCCATCAATGGAAACCTTGTCGAAAACATGCTGCTTCTGCACTTTCCTGAAGCACTTCCAGGCTTCCGGGTCATGTGTTTGGAAGGTGCTCAACCCTACATCGATCATCGATCAACCTCAGTTTTCTGTATGCAATCTTCCAATCAACATCGTTCCGTGTTAATTACTGTCAACATTATGTTGATTTTGAGATGATGATCTTGACACTCATGAGGTTGGGTCCTTCTCAGCCGCGGCAGGTCCTCTACTAAAATTCAAGGGTGGGTCTGAAGGCTAAGTCGGCTAAGTCCAAGATTGATATCGCAAGTCAGTCTGAGGAAGCAGAAAGGGGAGGTGCCTCATATTTGCACACATCTCTACTATCTTGGACTATCAGTTTCTAATATGGTTCGAACATTTGGATGCACTTAGAATATATGGTCATTAAATAGAGTTAGAATATATGGCCCATGCACTTAGAATATATATATATATATCAAGAACTTCTAATTGTTCCACCAATGCACTTAGAATATACAGTTTAAGACTATGCAGCGGTCAAATTAACGGGCTATGGGCTATGGGTCAAAACATCAGTGCCAGTCCTTTTTTCCCTGCGGAGGCGGCCACAAGATCTGTACTGTAGCCGTTTGTAGCTACCACATGTCTGGATGAAGCACAAGAAATTGACACGTCTCTTTGAATCAAGCAAAACTTTGTGGTGGTCTACGAGGACAAATTCTAACTGCACATGAACACACAGCCCAGTGCTCTATCCACCACCATTTGGTTCCAAAAGTTTAGTTCTAGTAAGCTGCGAAGGAAAGCGGGCAAAAACCTTTTTGACTGCACAGTGTGTGTTTAAATCTTGTTAGTGATAAATGATAAATGCATTTTTTGTAATTGCTTGAGATGTTTGTTCTTGGTGTTGCCAACGATGCATTGCATTCCATATTCTAACTGTGGCATATTCTAACTGCAGTGCCTCCACCAGGCTTCTCTATGTTGGGATGTCATTAAAAGCTAAATTCATTGATTCGATATTCTAACTGCCAGTCTTCTACTGTAGCTAAAATTTGCACACGCGCCCTTCAATTGCCTTGCCAATCACACTTCCATCATCAAAACTCACTTTCGCATATGCTCCCACACTTTTATCATACAGTACGTGTTCTAACAAAATTAGATGTGAGACTTGTCTTTGGATGACAGGTCTGATAAGTTGCGAGTTGTTTTTGAAGATGTTTGAAGGGTGAGCGGGGGTGCCGCCGGCAGCATGATCGGTCAAAGCACCAATGAAACCCAAACGCTCCATGGGACTGGCATATTTGCCGATCAGGCCAGGGGTGGTTTGGGGGTCAATGGGGCGGCATATATATGGCATACATGGTCGGAAAAGCACAAATGAAAGGTGCAAGCATACCAAAACTGCAAGTGTTCCCAGATCATCCGCCTGGTTGCTCAGGGGCAGGTCGTTTGTTCCAGATCCCGGATCAAGTGCCGAGGCGCGGAATACCATTGGCATCTCCATCCAACTTGGCAACCACCAGCGGCCGGCCCTCATCCTGCATCTTCTGTGCAAACTGCTCATAGATGGGCGCAAGCTTCTTGCAATGGCCACACCAAGGTGCATAGACCTGTGGGCATGTGATGGTTTTGTTTGAAAGCGTGGAAGATTCTTTTTTGGCAGGTCTGAGCAAAGCAGTCTGATTCCTAGCCAAGTCTGGGCAGTCTGGGGCCAATTACTCAGTCTGAGCACTTCTGCATCTGGGATGCCACCATCGAGTTTCACCAGTTAAATATGACCCCAAGATACCCCAAGCCTTCTCCGCACCCCAATCCTGGAGCTGCAAGAACTTCCAGCAAGTTCAAGAACGTGCAATCCCTGAAATCATCATGGAAGTGGATGGCATGGCCCCTTGGATGACACTTTCCTTCTACAAACAGGTGGTGAACTCCACTCCACTGTCGCGAGTATTTCAAGAAAGTCCTTCTTATAGAAAGTGTAAGCAGTCACCAACTACAGGGACCACCTGCGAACAGTTCGTCTCCACTTCCGACCTCTACAAATCCTCCATGAAAATGCCGAGGCATGGGCAGCATTCGAATTTCGTCATCCAAGTCACTTCCAACAGAACATGTTTCCCTTCCTCCAGCGGCTTGAACACCTCCGGCTGATGGCAGGTGACCCTGCGATGAGACCATGATGAGGGTGGAGGAGTGAACTCCTGTCTCCCCATTTTGGAATTTTTGGATCCAGCACATCGTTTGGTCTTGAGCGAAGCTGGACATAGCTGGACTATATCTGAGCTTCCCGGCATCCTTCTTGGAAAAAACACATCCCAAGCGCATGGGTGACTTGCCAAGTTGGGGTAACAAGCGCCGCGAGGCTGTAAAAGGGTCAGTGCAAGTGAGCTACGGCCAGTTCATCTGGTAAAAAATCCTCTTTCAGAAACATCAGCCATTTCTATAGTTCTGCACTCTGGATAGCCTATATATCCAGCGTGGCTTTTACATCAGCAAGGGGTCGCCCTGGGCCGCTTAGGCTTGGGGCACCTACGTTTGGGCTTGGTGAATGCGGCAGTGCAGGCACGCAACGAGCCGAAGGTGTGGCAAGCCTTGTTTGATGTGCACGTCTTGAGCTGGTTCAGTATGCATAGCTGAGGTACTTGCTAGTTTTAGGAGGTGGAGGCCAAAAGCATCGAGCTCCGACAAGTTTAAAAAGATCAAACCTTCATTTAAAATTACAAGCTCAGGCTAGGTGCAGAATCCCCGGAATCAACGGAGCACTGGCCAGTTCAAGAGTGGTAAACCTAGACCAATTGAGGACCCAAATGGCATCCTTGAACACTCATGATGACTCCCCCATAAGTTCCCTCGCCGAAGGCCCATCTTGAACTCCCTGATGTCCGACAACAACCATCTCAACACTCTCTAGTCTTTCACCCCACTCCCCAGCCCCCCCAGCACCACTCAGTCCGCTGCGGTCACCACCGGCACCACTCCCCAAGAACCACACGGGCGCACCTTCTGTCGGAAGTTCGCTCCCACCACGGTGCGCACGGGCGAGGACGAGGCTTGCGTCTCGGTCTCGGGTGGAATGGGTGCGCTACGAACCAGCTGCTCGGCGAGCCAGAGCTGCAAGTCCTAGCAGATCGGGTGAGGTTTCGCATGACTCACATGACATGCACGTTTTTTTTTTTCTATTCCTTGGCCTGTTAGGACCCAGAAAGTTGCGCAGAGTTGCAATCAAAACACTATTCGCAAAAGGGAAAACAACATAAAACAACACATTTATTTGAGGCATCGGCCTCAACTGGCGACGACTGTTTCATGGACCATCAAACCCGAAGATCAAACAGGTGGTGGGTTTTCCACTTCGATGACTCTTTCAGTGAGTGTAGCTGCTCGAATTGCCCAACAATATTCATGGGACCGGAACATTTATATACCTACATTGACCCGACCTCAGCGCTGAAAGCATCTCAACAACATAGGCAAATCTTTCAGGCCCTTGGATTGGCTGCACTCTGGTAGGCAAAGGTGAACATGTTCCAAGCTCCACCATTCGGCTGATGTTCAGGGGAACAGGAACCACCTCAAAAAGACTCAAAAAACGGACTCGCAATGAGGATTTTTAGGGAAATGCAGGAGAACTGAGCTTTCCACCTGGTGGATTTGAGTGGGGTGCCCCATGGTGTCCCCAATCCAATGGGGGTGCCCTGCAGATGATCCACTTGTCCTGATTAGGAGCAGCGATCATGAAGGTGCAAACTGCAAACATGTGCAAATAGACCCGCTGCGGGGACCAAGGGTCCGCCCTGGTGATGCAATTAGCATGCAGCAAAGACAAACACTCCGATGAATATGGTTTTCGGAAGGACATCTGATCCGTTAAAAGAAATGGCCTTCCAGTTGGTGGGTTCAACTCACTTGTAAATAACACGATTCAGTTAAGCGTTAAGGTGAACAATCATCCCAAGTTGAAGGTGGAACATCAACATCTCTGAAACCATCACCTCACCTTGGCGGCCACAACGTGCCACAAGGCCTCCTCCAGACCTCCCAGACCCAGATCAGTAAACACCGCGTCATTCTGCAGCACGAGTTAGTAACTCGATATCCCATGGTTGAAGACCACCCCAGTGTCCGAGCCTTCCGTTGGGCAAACCTCCTTTTCGCACCCCCAAAGGAGTGTCAAACATCCTTCCCTGATTGAGTAAAGCTGGAAAAACATCAACAACATTGCCCCAAGGTTTGGATGAAATCGTGCCCATTTGCTTGTGGACTCTTTGAGGAGGGTACTCAGGATCGAGTATTGTATAGTATGGTTTCATTCATCCAGCATGGTTCACCTACCTATATAGAACAAAAACCATGAGTTCGTCGTGCCTGAAGGTAAACCCCTCAAAAACAGTGTTCCTATCAAGAGCATGCCGCATGCCTTGCTTTTCCAATCACTCAGTTTCACCTCTTCTATACCTGTTGGCTGGGAGACTCATTCCACCGGCGCCGTATGCCCCATGCTGCATACGAATGCTCCTCTGGTTGGTATGGCCCCTGGTACCTGAGAAGTGCTGTGTCTTCAGACTTCGGATCGTTTTCACTGTTCATGTGCACTTGCTGACTTGCACAGGTCTGTACCAAACTTTGGCAGGCCTTGCACTGACTGTAGGCCATTTTGTTCCTCTGGTCATGAATGAAACGACTGCTCAGGCCGAAAGTCGTCTTGTGACACTGTTCAATCTAACCCCTCCCTGAGTATCGTTCGTATCTCGAGATTCAAACTCAGCAGAGGTGCGCCACCTCCTTCCGCGAAGGGGCCAGCAATGACAGGCTCTCCTTGTCCTCAGGCAGTCAATCTGCCGGTTGAAACGCACACCTTTGGGGCAAGCTGGAACGCTCGAACACCTGTAAAGAGTTAGGGACGATTTCTGGTGTGACGTCCGCCCGAAAGAAACACCATGTATAGTATGTGGACACCACCACTTTATATGAGACACCACCACTGTGTGCCCTCAAACAAAGATAGCAATTCCACCGCTCCGGAAGTAACCCATGTAATTAATGAAAAAAATATATGCCATGTGCGCAGCATATGGTAATACAACCCCTCCCCCCCAAAAAAACACATGGTGGTTGATCTAAATTCCTTTCATCTGGAAAGTGCCTCTTCGCGAAAAAAAATTACCTTCGCGAACCCCATGTTTAACTTTCGCGAACTTTCGCGAAGTATGATCTTACATATTCAGAAGAAGTTCGGGTACATGGGTATATATAGTAGTTAAAGGAAAACTATATATAGGTCTGAAAAGATCACAGTAAGCAAACAAATAAGGGTCCCTTTACCTACAAATAACATACATGGTTACATGAACTTTCGCGAAAAAAAAATACTTTCGCGAACCCTGTGTTTAACTTTCGCGATCTTTCGCCCGGTTGGTACTTAGTAACCGAAATGGCTGTTCCATATGAAACTCCTTTCATGGACCTTTAGATCGATGCCCACATACGCACTTAGATCCATGCTCGCAAGAGCTATATCAGTTGTGACTTCCCCGTGAAGCTAGCACTTTACGTTACTGACAGCTAGACCCTGACTTGCAAAACGGAAAGGGTGCTGGGTCGGCCAAACTGCCAAACTGAATTGTTTGAACATCACGCGTTGGCACTTTAGTGCAGTTGGACAACAGTTGGAACAATTGGTGCAGGTACGTGACTTCGGCATCCCAAAGTCCTTTCACAACACGATGGAAAGGTCTTCGTTGGGCAATGCCTTCCAAAGTGTTCATTGCCCCCCTGAAAGTCAGTACAGAAGTGTATCAAAAGGACAGTTACTATGGGTGGTTACTTCGCAATGTGGTCAGTCTCCTTGGATACAGGTGACACACACACACCCGCGCGCGCTCGCGCTTGCGCGGAAGAAAATACAACAACAACAACAACAACAACATCAACAACAACAACAACAAGAACCTCACCTAACACTCTAACACTAAATATATAACTTAAAGAAAGCACACTTTAAAGAAGTCAAAGGGAACAACAAAAGAACCCTGGCAAATCATGCTCTCCAAGACAGCTGATCTTGCCTTTAAAGATGTGTTGATTGATTTTAAGACCCTGGTCGTCCTTGGATGTTCTTAATCTTCCAAACAAACATACACCATCATACACCCCAAAGTAATACAGAAATAGCTCTGATGAAAGCGACCAATAGGTTAAGCACTCTGATCAGGCCCAGCGTCAGCGTCCACTTTTCCCAGGCTCACCTGTCGAACAAGGTGAGCATAGGTGAGCACGGATGTCTTCACCCCCCAAAAAAGATAGACAACAGCTTCAACAGCTTGAACAACATGCAACTAACACGGCCAAACGTCTGGTGACAACACTAAAGTTGGAGTGAAAGAACGAGGCTCCACATGGCTGTGTGCCTGAAGTTGTGGATGGGTGTTCAAACGAGCCACAACCGATGGCTCCACATGAATTCCCATCACTGGTGTTGAGCCCTATGTCTACAGTATATGTCACATGTGTTAGCTGTTGTCCACATTTCAACTGGACATCCTGCACTCCTTCATGAAAAACCGTCTGTGGAACAAACGGCGGTTCGCTTTTCACCAGCGCCCTGCGCTGGTGGGAGTTTCAGAAAGAAAGCGGACCAACCCGTCTCAACTCCACGCCCTGCGCCCAGAGTTCCATTCAACGCGTTGCTTGGTTTCGCCCCATCGGATCTGGGCATCGGAACTGCGCCAGCGTATATAAATCACATCTCCAAGATCCGAGGTCCTGGTTGGTGCTTAGTAGGGAATGAGGAAACCACTACTATAGATATAGGTCTATTGATATATTATGACATTATTGTATATGATACCCTCTAGGACCCATGCCCTTCTTCTCTGCTAAGCATCAGTCAGTCTAACGTCCGGTGGATTTTCGCTTCCAGCCCAACACGCTGCCTGCTGGCGCATCTCGTTTGCTGCTGTCCTTGGTCGTGTCGCGATCCGCGATCTGCACCTCTTCTATTAGGGAGTCCCACACTCAGGAGCAGTACTGGAGGGTAGGGAGATAGTATTCAATGAGGTAATTCTGGGGAATGGGCCTGTTGGAAATCGAACGGGATCGAACCCTTGGGACCCAGGTGGCTCCAGGCAGGTCTGAGGTCAACTAGGCGAGCCGAAGCAACGAGGGTTTCAAAAGCCAAGGGCTGGGGATGGTGGAAAGGGAAGGCTTTGTAGCATGTTCTGCAATATTCCCATGAGATGAGATGGACAGGCACGATGGAAAGGATTGGAGGATCTAAGTGAGTGCAACCAGGCTATAGAACATGGTAGAATAATCCAATCTAAACCAGTCGGATTTTGGACGACTCAGAGGCAGTCCCTGGGAGAAAAGACCGCAAGCGCTGTGTTCACCCGGCCGTGAGCTCAACAGATTGCTTCCGTTTGCGAGCGCGCGCGTAAAGCAAAGAGGGTGTCCATGATTTGCTGTCCAGGAACCTGGACAAATAGCATAGTATTCACCAGGTTTGGGGATTCACACCCAGTTCAGGAACATGAACATCACCCGATCCACTTCTGAGCCCCCATGCAGTGTGCACTTCTTTCACCATCTACTACACCTACACTGATTCAAATCCAGGGCTCAAGACTGCTTCAAAGTTAGCGTTGCGATCTCCAGCCCAAAGCAGCAATCGCTTCGTCTTGGCGAAGGCGATGGCTTCCTAGTCGGAAGTGCTGGCTTCCTAGTCGCGAAGTGATGGGTTTGGGAACTGGTTGCGGCTATAATCAAACAGTTCATGAAACCTGATTAGATATCTCAATTTCAGATCTCTTGAGATATGTACCTGAGTTCACCCAAAGACTCGCGGGTTCGGATGTCGGATGTCGGCAACCCCCTGTCAACACTATGTGCTGAAACACCTTTGACATTTTTTGGACTATGTCTGTTGCGTGACGATGTCAAGGCTACATCCCCTGCACATTCCCATCCCTGCACACCTCTTGGCTCTGGAAATCCCGCCAGGGAGGCGAGGTCTGCCTGGGCTCAAAACTGGCCAGCAGCGCAAGAATACCACTTCGGTGGACTGTCTGTGGCGCAATGCGCAAATGCTGAAAAACTGTTTGGTGACAAAATTGCCCAGTCACTGAGCACAATCAGTCACTAAGCACAATTTTGCTCTTCAGACGTTCAGAAACCTATATTATCTACCAGGACCCTCCAACAAACTGTTTGGAGACCCTAGCAGGTGGTTTGTGGACACGCGTTGTCATCAGGAAGCACCTGTAGAGTCGGTGACCTGGTATATAAATATAGACTCCTGCCATATCCTCAGATGATTTATGTTCCCATTGCCGTGCTTGTCTGAGTGCTTCGCTACACCAAAAACGACCTCCATGATCGCCCCTCCACATCTCAGAGAGCGGGAGCTGAGCGCCACGGTCTCCCTCCCGAGGTTGACACCGGTTCCAAAGACAGCCATAGACCTGGAACGCTTAGAAACTCCAACGTCGTGGAGGTCATGGTCCCAGACTCGGATGATGAAATCCGAAGGCCAGTTGCAGGCGGTGGTGTTCCACTGAGTGTATATGACTGTCAGGCTATGACGCTTATGAAAACGGCCGTCGAACGCAAAACGATGAACAGAGACCTACGTTTTTGCTGTCTGGCCAGGATGCGTCTCGAGATATTCCAGTAGCTGATGTCGCTTAGGACCGCCTGGGTACCTCAGCAGTGTGGCCATGCAGTTAAAGGCAGTACACTTTCGGAAATAGTACGCCCGGGCAACATGGACCTTTGTGCGAAAACTCTAACTCTCCCTTTTTCCTTCTTGAGTTAAGGGCTACAGTAAACTGTCTTAGTGCCACTTTACGCATTCTCTTTACATACATGTCTAGCAACCTATTTGGATGCATGAAGTTTTGCACCCTCCTTAAAGTTTGGCGCTCAGACATGCACTTGGCACTTTATGCGTATTGGGTTCTGGGATTTCTTTACACATGTCCCACTTCTGTACATGAAACTTCGGCAGAGTGCTACTCTTTTCAGTATGCACTTTCCACACGAGTGTCAGGCTGACTGCATTTAGCGAAGAGTGGTAGTTCACTTCCGGTGATACCCGTCTGCATTGCCAAGCTGAATTCTGTTGTGAGGTAACACCCCTCCAGACCGGTTGCGGCTTACGCTGCTGAGGTATTGTCTTATTGTGAGCTTTGCGCTTTGCATTGGTTTCCATGTGTGTCGCGTTGTCCACCCGGCACTAGAGACCTTTGCTGCTTGAAATGCTTCCAACACTTTTCATGTTTGCCTTGCTGACATGTCTGTCGACGCTTTGCTGCGTTAGATCAACCATGCCAATCATTCAACGGCATTTCTTACTGCTTCGCCAGTGTCCATGAACTTTGTGAGTATGTCAGCTGGATTGCGGGTTCCTTTCACCTTGTTCACAATCACTCGTTTCTTTTTGACCCACTCTTGAAAAAAGAAATGCGCAACAGCGACATGTCTCATTTTGCCTACACCCATCTTTCGCGCCGCTTGCAGCGCTGCGGGAGAATCACACCAGACTCTTGGCACTTCCACCGTGAGTCCAAAATCAGTCTCGGCTAAGTTTCGGACGAAAACTGAGCTCCTGGCGCATTCAGTTAAAAGTGACCGGATTTCAGCTTCTCCTGATGAAGTGGCCGGGTACTCCTGGTTGCGTGCGCGATGATGCTTTGATCACCGTCCCTCCTAGGAATATGATTTCACCGCTGGTGCTTTTGCGTGATTCAACGTCGCCTGCCCAGTCGGAGTCACAAAATGCGTGTAGTGGAATTGCCTCTGCATCGGTGACATCTTCATCAAATTTTCTCACGTGTTCGTACTCTTTGGTTCCTTTCAGGTACCTTCCAAGAAGTTATAAAATTCTGCAAGTCGCATTCACGCGGTTCTCGGGTTCCCTTTGCAAGCTCTTTGACGCTAAATTTAATGTCATACCTATCCTGCGAGAGGTATATTGCGCTTCCTACACAACTCGCATACTTTGCTTTGTCAGCTTCGTCCAATGGATTGCCCTTTGTCAAATCAAGCTTTCCACCTGGAACTGGTGACGGTTTTGCATCTTCAAGTTCTAAGTTTTCAATAATGACCTTGATGTGTTTTGCGTTTGGTTTGGTCCTCCAAGTTGATCTTTATACGTCCTAAGAACTCTGACGTTGCGTGGTTGCCTAAGATTGGGTACTCCATCTTGCCCATCTTCAACTTGCAGCCTGCTCTGGGAAGTTGAAGTGTTCAAAACTTTCTCGGGGCCACAAATATCGACTATGTGGTGCAACAACACTGTTCCTGTCTTTTGGCAGCGGTAGATGCAACATCCAACTTTCCCCGAATGAACTCATAGTCTTCTTTCAACTCAAAAGTGAGGATCTCCTCAAGTCTGTCCCTGTATTGCGCCGCTGCTGATTGACGACCGTGCAGGTTTCCATCAACCTGCCACGCTATTTCCGAAGCCGGCACATTGTCCAATTCCTGTCTGACATCATCTGGCTGGGAAACTAACCATTCGTCATACTGCTCTAGCCATTCACGCGGTGGAACCATCATCACTGGCTGCCCTCTGTTGTCTCCCTGATCCCTGGCGATCAAGAACGCTGAAGACAAATCTGCCTGCACCCTGGGAAATCCTGTCTTCAAGCTGTACTCTTCCAAAATTTTGCGTGAGCATCCATGTGGAGTTGGACAAAAATTGCTGGAGCTCTCGGAACTGTTCTTGTCCTCTGCTTGCGCTCCTCTCTTCAACCTAGCTTTGGCAATACCTTCAATTACTTTGTCAACCCACTTGTGCCCAAACACCGTGATGTGCTTGGGCAACTCTCTTCTGTCTCTGGGCTTGAAGGCACCATGGACGTCATTCAACTTGCGCAACTCCTCCTTTCTAGCTATACTTTCAAATCTTCTGCACTGCAACCCATGTGATCTAAATAGTCCATGATGCTTGACACTGTCTCTGGCTCAAAGATTGACGAATGCTTCTTCAACCACTCTGCGTACCTATGGCGTTCCTTATCAGGAATGAAACTTCCCTCTTCACATCTCACATCTAAGCACGCCAAGCGGGAAATCATGCTGATTGTCTCCCTCCTGATTGGAACTGTGGCGTCTCCCATGAAGTCGGCGCTTGACTTTCTGGAGCCCATTCCTTCTTCCATGACTTGGTCAGATGGGGTTGAAATTCTGTGCACTTCAGGTTTTTGCACTACTGATGGTCCTGAAGGCTCAGTCATTCTCATCTTCTTGCGGCTTGCCTCCTCAACCGTGATTCGTTCCCCTTCATCATCTACCTTCATGCTGTTCTCTGACTGGTTCATCTTCGGTGTCACGTCCTTCTCTGCTTCTCCTTCTTGGTCGCAAGTTCTGGTTCATCACGCGACACCTTTGCCAAAAGCATTGGCGTTGCATGCTGGGACTGGAACTGCGACAACCTTCTCTGGCTCGTCGTCACGATCAATTTTCTCAAAGTCAATGAGAGCTTCAGTGCAATCTCTGGGACACGTTGCGCTTCCAATCCAGACGTTACCGGCTCTGCGCTACTCCTGGTGATACCCAGCATGAGTTCCAAGGTGCTCCCCTTGCAGATTCTGGTAATTACTGCGACCCTGGCGGCAACCTCCTGACCGTTCTATAAGTCTGGGCGCCGCCCGCCGTCATCACAATGTGCTCGTCGGAGTCGTTGCTTTTCCCCGCGTAGATTCCTTTTACTCTCCGAGCTGCTGCATTGCTCTTGGCACGTGGGAGTTTGGCCATGACAGTTTCACCGAGAGGGTTTAGTTCCCCAAGATAGTCATGTCCATGGATGACTCGATGCGCTGTTGTTCCACTCTTGTTGACATAGAAACAGGCCAAAGTCCAGCTACTGTGCCTCACAATCCACGGAAAGATGTAATGGCCGCACTGCATTTTCTCCTTGTATTTGTCCGCCAGCTCAATCATCCACGTCCTGATCTTCCCTGCGATCAGCCCATTCACCACGTCGCCGTCTGCCAAACTCTGAGAGCTATATCTGGGCGACTTCCTCAACTCCATTGCTGAACCCATATGCTCTTGCACATTGTCATAGAGCTTGTTCATCGAATTCTCCTTGTCCACCTCAACGACGACTTTGTCCCATCCAAGGAACTTTAGCCACCGTACCATTGAGAGAACTGCATAGTTACCTCCTCCTTTGCTTGGAACCACCAAGGAAAATAGCGACTGGCTGTTCCGTGCAAATGGCCGTGAGAACTGTAATCAGCCCTTTCTGCTTCTTTCCTTCTTCGACGTCTTCCACATTGCCATCCCTGCTGAAGAACATGTAGTCTGAGTAGACAAGGTGTTCTCTTGTATCTTCTTTGCGTCTTTCATGGCGCTTTTCACGCCCTTGGCCCATGACACAGGTTTCACACCATGGGTCAAAGTTTGCATGGTGCAACATGTGGTTGTCTCGCTGTTTGGCTGTTGGTTGGGCTGGAACTGCTACCTCGTTTGCCTCTTTTGTTTCACGCTTGTCTTCTCCTGGAATTGACGGTTCATATTCCACATCATCTTCCACTATGGTCTTTCCAGCGAGAATGTCTTCCATAGTTCTCTCCATGTCTGCAATGTCCTCGTTGTGTGCGTTGTCACGACTGCTGCTTGGCTCCTCACTTCTTCTCAACCGAAACCAAGTCTCACCTAACCCTTCAAAGCCAACATTCCTGTTTGCCAACCTCTTTGAAGTCCAAGCATCTTCCTCGTCTGTCCGTCCACCATCCTTGGTGGCTATCATTTTGGTCAACCTTCCTGGGCATATCTGGCCAAGTTCAACTGGCAAATTCTGCACCTTGTCGGGGGCAAACTTCTGGAACCTTGCCGTGTTGTGCTGTCTGACCAGGTGCTCGTCATCGTCTTTGGTTTCTGTCCTCCAAACATCTGGCTCCTTGAGCTCTTCAAAGCGGACGCCTTTTGTCACCGGTGATACCCGGCTTTGCCAGTGGTGTGACCCACACTGCTTGTCACCAAGGTGTCTGACCTTGAGGTACCATCTCTTCCCATGAAGCTCTAAGGGAATTGACTCACCAAACCTTGTGACCAAGTAGCATGAGTCCTGCTGAAAATGCACTTCGCGCCCATGAGTCAATAGACTATGGACGGAAGCTAAGCTCTCAGGTGCGTCTGTCACCGTCATTTCTACGGTGCCTGTCATACTTCCAACTGACACGGTGGGGTATTGCTTCCCATACACTCGAGAACTCTCAAGGGGTTACCTTGAACACTGTACAAGGGACGCGCAACACTGTCATCAACCTTTCCAGCAAGATCGCTGGTCCTGGCCACGCTTTCACATGCTCCTGAGTCAATCAGCAAATACTTCCACTCACCTGTGCCGCTGACGGCTGCCACCTTGGACTCTCCAACAGTGAAGATCATAGTGTCCGCGTTGGCTCCTTTCTGCTGTGTTCGATTGGCTTGGGTGTTCTCCGCTAGAAGAAGTAGGCCTACCTCGGCCAGACTCAACTGCGCCAACCTTCCAATAACAATCGTTCGCGATGTGTCCATACTTCTTGCAAATGTGACATTGTTTTCCTGCGTGAGGGTTTCCTACATTACCCTTGCCGCTGGGCTTGTCACCTTTTTCTCCCTTCTTACCTTTACCTTTTGTGTCACCGGGGCCTTTGCCTTTTCCCAGTCCTTTGTCACCTTTGCCTTTGCCTGGCTTGCCTTCGTCGGCCCATTCGCTCCAACCTTTGGGGCCTTTGTCTCCAATCACTCCAACCTTTTGCGCCTTTCCCGTTATCCTTGCCATGCTTTCCTTTGCCTTTGTATCCTTGACCTTTTCCTCTTCCACCAACACCTCCTATGTCCATGGGGGCCAGTCCACCATCGTCAACCTTGTCGGTCACCTTCGTCAACCCAAACTGGCAACCTTGAGGCCTTTTCCAGAGGTTCTTGTTGACCAAGTATTGCTCAACGTACTCCCTAATCTTATCATATGTCTCCAATGCATCGCTATGCATGAAAATGCTCTGTTGGAGTTCTTTGGGGACCACATGCGCTAAGATCGACACCTTTTCGTCTTGCGAAAACACGTTCTTGAAAGTTCAAACTCTCTAACTTCACTTTCCCATTGGTGAAGAGCAGCGCTCCATTGCGCAATGTCACTGGGGAAGTTTGGGTTCGACAGGTGCCTTCTCCAAACCCATGCCTCGGTGCGATACGACGGCTCTGAAAGTTTCACCAGCCTCCGCTGCACTTCAAAACCGTTGGAGTCATGAAGTCCTTGGCCGATCACGCCCATTGTTGGCTCGGGACAGTACTGCTTGAGAAAAGTGTACATCGCCTTAGACAAACGATCTTCCTCAGCGTCAAAGTGCAGTTCATCAATTACATCTGTCTGTTTCCCGTACTTCTCAAATCAGGAAACTTTGGGTGAACAGTGGAAGACCATGCGACAAACACATGTTTGAATCTCTCCCATTCTTCTTTCTTGCCACTATAGATCGGTGGTTTTGGAACATTGCTGGGGTGGATCAGTTTCAGTTCGTCTGACTTCCTTGAAGCTGCGGATAGCTGCGGCAGTGGTCTGCCGTCGCTGCTGTATTGGCTCTGCTTCTGCTGATGCTAGCCTGCTCTCGGTCTCCAAAAGTTTTGCAGCCTGACTCTCGTTTGCCACTGCGGATTGCCTACGCCCTTCCGTGAGAGCAACAACTTGATTCTGCAGCTGGGTCAGCTGCTGTGCGAGACCCTGCATTTCGTGAGCCCCCATCTAGCCTTGAACAAAAAACAGTACAGGGAGCGTACGTGCAAGGATTGCACTCAGTACCACTTGCGGTGGTACCCGCCTTGCCAGGAGTGATCCCTCTCTGTCCAGTTGTGCCAGTCCTGGTTGTACCCCGACTTGGAGTCTGACCGGCCTTCTTTTCCGTCACTTGCGGAAGAGCGGGCCCAAGAAGATGTCTCTTCCCAACGACGCCAGTGAAAACGATAATTGTTCTCTTCCACGGCCTGCTCGTTGTTATTGGTGTCCTCTTCACTCACGGACTCCCCTTCTGAAGAGTAAACGGTCGTTGCCTTGTGAGTCGTGTCTTCAGAGCGCGTAGCGACTGAATGCCAGACTGTCACGTTGTCGGGCTGCTCGACCTCAGCTGTTTCCTCCTTTGCCTGCTTTACTGAAGCGGGCTTTCCAGGTTCTGACCTCAGATCAGCACGAATCTCTTCCAGCACTGGCTCGTCAGAAGCGTCGGCTGCAGCTTCCCTGACACTGCCTAGACTTGCACTGGAGCCGAGATTCTCCCCGACGACTTGTGAAAGTTTGGGAACTTGAAGTGAAAGTTCGATGATCTGTCACGCCAGGTGCTGCACGTGGGTTTGCTTGGTACTGGAGTCCCTCGGCAAAGCTGTAGTCGTCTGCTGAAAGCGAACTCGCTGCACCAGGCCTGCTGTTCCACACTTCCTGGTTTGTGGCTAGGAGTTGCTCGGCCCTTTTGGCGACTCCTTGAAGGATGCGCTTCTCGATTGCCTGGGCTGAGTGGGAGCGATCCTTTCCTTTCTGCTTTCCTTTTCCCGTCTTCGCGGGAAGCCGGCCCCCCACTGCTTACTCACGCAGCTGGAGTGGCCCTTTTGCACTCGCCAGCGCTGCTTACTCACGCAGCAGCTGGACACCGCGCGCCCTCGCGGCGAATCGCGGCGATGCCCGCCTGAATCGGTGGATCCTGACAGCTGGAAGTGGGTCGGCCCACAACCTGCTCCGCTACCATGCGAAAACTCTAACTCGCCCTTCTTCCTTCTTGAGTTAAGGGCTACAGTATACAATCTTAGTGCCATACTTTACGCATGATCTTTACATACATGTCTAGCAGCCTAGACATGGATGCATGAAATTTTCATCTACAAGCCAGTGATTTTCAGGTTCCATTTTAATCTTCAAGGGCCTAATGGAAGTGAGTTCATAGTCATCCTTTCGGGGGGCGCCATCCACGTTGGCCCATGATGATGAGTCTTCCAGTGATGCGTCAATGCGTCCACTTCCAGGTGGGATCCGTGTCTCGAAGAAACCGTAGGTATCTTTTGCTGTGGATCAATTAGTTGGTTCAGAATCTACAGCAAAACCATGGATGTAACCCCAAAGGCTATGGTTCCTGTGAGATTTTTCCTCAAAGCAAGTCTTAGAGTGGATCTTCCAGATCCAAAAGCACACATGTCACACATGTTGAGGGGGGCATTGAATATGAGATCAAGAAGAAATGCACCAGCAGCAACAAAGCCTTCGAAAAACTGCATGGGTAGAATGGAGAAGTGGAACTGTTTTTTAGCACGTCCACTTCTTATGCCATTGGTTTACCCAGTCAGTACCTATACGTTGGAAGTTGGAAGTAGAAGTCAACAATCCAAACATACCAAAAACAATCTAAAGTAACGTCAGTCATCAGAGTGGTCCCAGGCATTGTTTGTGCTGGCAGTGTTGTTTCCCCCATCTCTGGAGTGCCACATCACCCCCAAACGGTTTTCGGGTGCTCCAGTGACACCGCCATCACCGGAGGCACCGCCATCCGGCCGGCTCTCATGCACCGTAACTCGTTCATCGGTGAGTCACTTGCCAAGAGGCTTCTCTAAGCGGCCACCCTGCATTAGGAAGAGGCTTGGGTACTTGTCGATCCCATGCTTGTTGCACGACCTGTCCGTGCGGTTTCTTTTCCCAGGTGGAGCCGTTTTTTCTGACTCTGAGCCGCTTTTGATGGAACATCCGAGAAAAAAACAAACTAATTCTTTTGCACCTGTTGGTTTTGAGTGGGGCGTCTCTTGATTGCTTCCCCAACACAGGTTTTGCAATGTTTTGGTGATCCGCTGAACTCTTTAGGGTAGATGCATTATCAGCAAATCGGGGTATCCAAATTTGTGACTGCTCAGGTGTGATTTCTCCGGACTTGGCGAACTTTGGGTGACACAAATGGCTGCTTTGGCTCAGCCATTACCACCCGATGGCACTGTGAAGGCCATAATATGGTAGCCACAGACGAAGAGCGGAGATAACAAATGACGTCATGTCTCCCCAAGAATCTCCCAAAACAACCAGAAGTCCAACGCTTGAGCTGAGCTGTGAAGGAGCATTTGAAATATCTCGCTGCGCCCCTCTAGATGTATATTATACGAATCAATACACTAAACATCATTAAAGCTCCTCTCTGTGGCTCTGGGTCCATGCTGCGGAAAAACCGCTAGGCCGTTCGTCCTCCGTCAACCGACGCCCGAGTCGTCGTCGTCGGGGAGCGACAACGACTGCCGTGACCCACCAAACCACTCTGATCCACTCTGCAGCTCCAGAGCTCCAAAGCTCCCACGACCAAAAACAAATAATCATCGCGTGTGCTAGGTCGGCCTTTCTCCATCAGGTGTGGAGCAATCCTTAGGCGTGGAATGAATCTCCGCGACAAAGTGGCTGCAAGGCCTGCCCGATTTTTTTCTGTTGGAACAGTACCAGGGTGAGGATTTGCATCAAGGATACTTTGGTTGACCCACTGACGTGATGGTCGTTCGCTACATGGTGGACTGGTCGTGCTCCAGGTTTTTGGCCCCTTTTAGTTGAGGATGGTAGGCAGTCGACTTCCAACGCCGAAGGCGAAGTCTTCCACGCGTGGGGCTTTGGGGATGGTACGTGCCCAATGGAGTTGGTATCTCCATTCTGTGGAATCAAAGACTTACACTGCCACTGTCCAAGCCAGTGACTAGGGCGCCAAACATTCAAAAAGTCCAAATCTGTTTGGGTCATGTGCCTCCTTTTGAACTTCCTGCGGTCGATGTTCATCCTTCCCGATTTGTTCCTCCTCCGGAAAAGCATACATCAGAATTGAAGTTGCAAAGTCAGTGGATCAATGCGAGTCCCAAAAAACTATTCCGACTACTTGGGAAGTTACTCAACTATAGCAATCACTCCCTGCGAGTTTGCCAGTTTTTTGTCCTCCCGAACTCGCAGAGGGCACATATATCGCATATATCGTATATATCTCTTGCAGAAAAGGCGCCACCCGAGCAAAGGTGAAATTGGGAGCCTGCAGAGCAGGAAAGGGGTGATGGGTGCAGCATATGGAACAATCCAACATAGCTTCTAGTTATCAGAAAGCTTCAACAATATACTAAAAAGATCGAAACAGCTTCTGGTTACTACAGGTGAAACGATTCCCAAGGAAACGATTCCCAAGGAAGCTTCTAGCTAGTAGTAGTCGTCGTCGTCGTTGTCGTCGTAGGAGTAGGAGTAGGAGTAGGAGGAGTAGGAGTAGTAGGAGGAGTAGGAGTAGGAGTAGGAGTAGTAGGAGTAGTAGTAGTAGTAGTGCTACTTAGTAGTAGTAGTAGTAGGAGGAGTAGTAGTAGTGGTAGTAGTAGTAGTGCTACTTAGTAGTAGTAGTAGTAGTAGTAGTAGTAGTAGTGGTAGTGGTAGTATTAGTAGTAGTAGTAGTAGTGCTACTTAGTAGTAGTAGTAGTAGTAGTAGTAATTAGTAGCTTCTTGTTACTAAACATGATCTGGTGCCTACAGGATCCTACCGGTCTGAGGTCTAAAGTCCAGGTCGGATTCGAAGGCTGGGACGTCCGGATGGCTAAGGCAAAGTACCCCAAACATCGCTCCAAACCCATTCAGAGAGGGGTCTTACCTTCCTTGTCTATCCTTTGATCCATTTCTTCCTTGTCTTTTCTCTTTGTTCCTAATAGCGATGGCCTCCCTAGTTTCTGATAGCGTGGGCGACGGCCGCAGACTTGGCGCGTCACGGCCGCTCGCACGGCTGGGCCGGCCCGGCCGTGCTAGCATGCTCCTTCATATTCCATGCCGCAGGAGGTACGTGACCTACTGGAAGAATTCTTTGGGGAATCATATTAATCATATTGAATAGTTAATTCATGGATGGGCATGGTGATGCATGGTATATATATATATATGTTTGGCAATGAGTGCGAAAGGTGGGGGCTCGGAATGGGCTCGGAGTGGCTGCCGAAGAGGAGCACTCAAGGCTCCGAGGAGCTACGAAAGGAGAAGTCTCCTCTTTTGGGGGGCGCCCAAAACCTCTAGCGTGGGCGCCCAGAGTGTCGTCTATAGCGTCTGAACTTGAGCCCAGGAGTAAGAGGAACAGTAAGAGGAAGTTCCTGGTGTCATCCGAAAGGATCCTTAAAAGCTATACCTTTCAATCCCTTCATCTTGTCTTGATGTATTTTGTTAGTATTAGATTCTCAAGGATCTCCCCATGTGCCTTCCATGACTTGCATGTTTCACGACAACAAACTAGAAACCGTCGCCTTCCGGGCGGCCGACTCGTAGGTGGGAGCGAACTTCTTGCAAGCACCGCAGGAGGGGGAAAAGAACCTGAGCTCTGTCAGTGGCTCTGTCTATCGGCGTTCGATCGGATTCCTGCAACCTGCAGGTTCTGTGTGGTGGGTGCTACAGCGGAAGATCGTGTGGTGCAGGGTGCGTTTCTCTGGGCGTGATGCGTTGATCTGAAATAGAGACACAACAACTACCCGTGTCCTTTTCAGCGTTTTCGCTACATCCTACCCGAACAGCAGAAGTGCACCCTATGGTTGCCCCAATTCCATCACCTGCACCACAATTGCGTCAACAAACACACGCACCTAGCTCCGTATCAACAGTTCCAAGAATACACAATCAATTTCAACCTACTGCTATAGAATCACTGGCGAATGAGGTCAAACAGCTCCAGAAACAGAATGGTATTATGTTGAATTTGTTGACATCTTTGGTTGGACTTCTACAAAAAACATTCGTCAATCACTCCATCATCTGTTAGTTCCCAGCATTTGTGAAACCATGTGAGGAAGAGATGGAAGGTGCCCAACATCAACAAAAATTTAACATCACCAGCAAAGCCTAAAGAAAAACACCAAGGGCGCGGGGGACCAACTGCATTGGAGCCGGGTGTCCCTCCAAATGCTCCCAGTTTGAGTCGGTTGGGGCAGGTGCACTTGTCACTGGATAGGAAGTTGAGGATGTCATTCAAGCTGATCCACTGGTCAAGCGATCCACTGAGTGGGGTCTTAGGTTGGTCTCTCTTTTTCTCGGGACCAGTCCCAAAGAACAAAAACACACAGCAGTCCATCGATCATCCTCACCTCTCCGAGTTGCTCCATGTATCCGGTCACATTGCGCTCCAAGAGTTGCCTGGGATGACTGTCGAAACCGAGCCTCTTCCTCACCGCTCACAGGTCGACAGGTCCGTCGGTCCAATTGGAGGGTCCGGACCCTCAAATAACGTCTGGCCCCTAGTTAGGAGTCTTAGGAGGGTCCATAAGCGTCTGGGTACAACCATTGCTAGCTTACCGTTTTGTTCACCGTCCGCGTCTGGCGTCCATGGGCGTCTGCTTTTCTTAAGCCGAAGTCTCCACCTTGTTCGACTGCGTGGTGGGGTGCCACCATGAATGTGATCGACTTTCACCGGGAAGAGGATGGTAGGGAATCCGGTAGATCCCATTGACAACTATGACCAAGTGGATGATGTAGAGGCCAGTTTTCGGGCCTTTCCCACACATCGCTAGGTATGATCAATTGGGTGCTCCAATCAAAGCCATATCATAACAATAACACAGTGAATGGTTGTTTCAAGTTGCTTCAACACATTTCCCAAAAATATGTATCAACTGGTGTAGTCCTTCCAAAATTGTCAACGACAGCACCAACCAGAACATGTCTGAGACAGCTTCACAGGGACTTGGCGAGTTTCACACTGAGCCAAGCTCTCTCCCTCTCTCTCACTCTGAGTTCTGGCCGCATCACTGAACCCCACGCCCAGCCAGAACAGTCTCATGGTCCAGCTCTTGGGAGGGAAAGCCAGATCGAAACATGCCAGCTTTCTCCACTGTTGAGAGGTGAGGCCCCAGCCACCCATCTCCACCCATGTGACCATGTCATAAGCCGCTTAAGCCCAAGCATCTGAAGCTCTTTCTCATTGCCCAGCTCAAGGACCGGAGCCTCTTGAGATCGAAAGGCTCCACCCTGCTCTGGCTCGAAGGTCTCAGGCACTGACAGTGCCTGAGGTGAAAAGGAGCAAAACGCGTCTGGAGGACCTTCAACATACGAAGTCCCACAGAAAGCTTCCTCCGTTTTTTTCTCTCCCACCACCCTACAAAACGCCAGTCAAACACACCCACTGACAGATGTGTGTTTCCAATCTTATTCCCTTCCCACTCACGAGACCCACCCGTCCTGTCACCACCCCCTTCCCCCCCCTTCCCCCCCTTCCCAAACCTCCAACCCAGCTCGGACTGATCGCACACGTCCCTCCATCGAACGGGGTGCCCTGTAGCGCCGGGAGTGCTCCAGAACCCAGGGGAGGATCCTCAGCGGGGGAAGTCGTCCCAAGGGCTGGGGCAAGGCCAGGGCGGGTGGAGAAAAGCCAGGCAGATTGGAAGATCAAGGAGGGCCCTCCCACCGGGATCCTGGAGATGTTCGAAGTGAAGGAACCTCCAGAAAAGGGGCTGGAAAAAGTCTCCTGCACAAACCACTGGGGCTTTCAAGACCTGCAATGAAGTCATCCGGTGCACTGTAGATGAGTTTTTAAAATGATGCGATGTGCAATACATCCTGGCTCCTGAGCCGGAGTAGAATCCAGGTGAACCAAACTTTCCACTGATTTTGAGTGGGGTGCCCCCGTCCATTCCACCAAAAAACAGGTCGACCTGCGTGGTCCATGTTTCCTGGCGTGGGGAAGTTCGGGTCTCTGGGAACATCAAAAATAATAGTAACTCGATCTGCAGAACTAGGCCAGTGAAGGCCCCCAAACTTCCCCAGTGGTTTCAGAGGTTCGATGGCACAAATCCAAAGACGTCCTTCATGCTGGGGTCCATATTAATCACTTTTTTGGGATGGTGCCAGCTACTCTGAAACCACCGTAGATGGCATCGGCATTTAAAAAAAAAACAACAAAATTCAGGTGAAAACTCACTCCACGTAACATCACGTCGCCATGGTTTGTTCAGGGAGTGTGTCCACTATATCTAGCTCCTACAGGGAACTGCTGAAGTCACCCCACACTGTCCCACAAGTGTCTCTCCCCCAAGGAATTGCAGCAAGCAAGAACTACAAAAGTGCGACGATTTTCCTGGAATGCTCTTCCCAAGCTCAATTCAACATTTGCAAAAGAACGCGGCGACTTTGTCATTTCGCTGTAAGACAGCTGAAGGAGCAGTTCGACGACTCCGTGAAGTTTGGGGCATGTTCGGTCGAACAACTCCATGCTGGCGTACAAATGGTGGACATTCAGTGGACCATCCATGTATGGAAGAGTTATATTTACCTACATTGCAGTCTTAAATGGAGTAACTGTAAACTTGCATGTATCTTGTATGAATATAACTATTATGGATGGTCTGGGAGGAGTGGACATGGTACTTTGGGGTGGTGAATGGAAAGGTCCTCGTCGAGTGAAGCCCAGCCCAGTTCGAAAGTACTTCTATAGTTAGTTCTTTGTGTGAAGTCAAGAAAATTCCGACATCAGGGCCGGCTCCAAGTACCTCCTCAGAAGGTATTTGGACATATTTGGAGCCTCTAAACCTACCCCAGTCCCACCTTCTTAGAAGGTACTTGGAGCCCTAGTCAAACCATTCTTTGAACATATCTCTTTATAGCACCTGACCCCCAGGGTGCAGATGGTGCTCCCAGCATATCCACACCAAGGCGAAGGAGCATGGGGGGAAGGACGTATTGTTTGGCACACGTGTAGAAGCTACTGTTGGCTTGGCACACCGGTGACAGTTTGTTATGTTCGGGGGACTGGGACATCTCATCATAAGACTCCCCCAAGCCCATTGGAGAACAGCACAATCATCAAACAACACTTGAAAACCAAAGAGCAAGCTTTCCAGATTGACTTCTTGAATGGCCCGCGGAATCCTTTCAAACAAGTCAGACCCTCTGGACAGGTCTTCCAACTTCTATTTGGGGCGACCTATCCCAAACACTCCCGAAAAAACTCATCAACATCAACTCATCAACTCATGTCTCCCACGGATTCAGCGAATCCCACTCATTCCACCACCCCGGAATTGGACTGAAAAGAAGCTGATTGAGCTTTGCTCTCAGCAGGGTGGTCGACTTCTCCAAGGCGCCCTTCTTCCTAGGGCCCGTGGGCGGCCGGATGTCCTAGTGGGTTGTCTCCGCGACGAATCGACATGCGAAAAAATCATCGGAGCCTATACTTGACTACCAGACTGCACGATTAGCATTGTCTTAGCGGCTTAGCGTTGTCTTTGAGTTCTTGCCATACTAAGGCTTACTTACCCACTGCATGGTGGCCCAAGTTTGGTGGACTGGGTGTACGCAAAACCCTGCCGCTCCCCGAAGAAGATCGGGGTTTCCACCGCACCAGCCATGTCCAGCTCTTTCTGGCACCATGTCCACAGCGGTGTTTTCACTCTGGTGGAGGGTGTCCCCAATCCCAACCCCCTCAGCTTCCTTGGAATGAAAGAAAGTTCAATTAAGGTTGGAGGCCATCGCTAGCAGGTTGGAGGCCATCGCTCTTAGGACCTGCAAGTATGGGTATTTAAAAAAGAAAACTATATAAGTATGTTTCATTCGTTTTCACCTCTTCTTGTTTAGTGGGGTGCTGTGTCCCTAGTGTCCCCGAAAAGCTTCTTGCAGGTGATCAACTTTTTGTGGGTAGTTTCGCCCAACCAAATTTCCTCGTTGACAACGAGGCGTAGGAGATTCTTTGCGCGTCGCGAGATGAACAGGGGTATTTCAAAGGCTTTGGCTCACTAGATTCACTAGATAAGAGCCCCCCCAGAATTGCAGGACATGTGTCCTGGGAAGGGGTTACTTTTCCGTTTGTTGCGGTCATCCCGCTCTGATCGAAGGCGACCATTGAACAACTCTCGTCATACCAACTGCAAGTACTCTCCCTGGAACTAACGTGAAAGTGGAGTTCGGCACCTGTTTGGTCATCGGATTTCATGGTCTGCCATATTCGGGGCCATGCCAATCATATTAGTTCCAGGGACTGCACCCAAGCATCGGCCAAAGACCCCAAACCCGATCTGCATGATGCCACCTACTCCCCGACATGCAAAAACACCAACACGCAAAAGCAAACTGTCTGTGCGCACCCACCGGATTTGAATTGAGGAACCGGGAATATGAATAGTCGTATTGAATAGTAATTAACAAACAATCACCAATTGCAGACATACTTTGCCAATTTCCTTTGGGACTGACTCTGATTCACCCACTTCACCCAAAACATCCACACATCACCCGATGTAAATCATCACATGAAAATAAACCACCATCCGCCCCGGCGGCTGGTCGCCCTCGAACTCGTGGATCTCACCAGCCCAGCGGATTCCAACGGATTTCTTCTCCACGTCCGACTCCTGAGAGGAGCCACGTCGTGTTTTTCTTTCACTTACGCCTTCTGGAGGTTACGAAGCTCGAGTCGGGAGCGGTTTTTCGACGGGATTCGACGGGATGCCATGCCGGGAGACAGGGAGACGTTGCACGTCTCGGACGATGGAAGCTGAGAATGGACTGGTGGAAAACCATGTTCCGAATACCAACCCAGTTTGTTTGGGGTTCCAGGTTAATCTGTGGGGAGACGTAGTTATCTGTACAAAAAGATTTCATCTCGATTGAGCAAACTGCCTGGAGCAGGCAAGGTCGGCCCTCCAGTTCACAAGGAGGCATGGGGCACAGACCCTTTGTGGTACTACAGCATCATCATTCAACTGCTCGACTCTGCTTCTCTAGTGCCGGTTGCAAGCAGCTTTTGATGTAGTGGCTGTTGCCAGCCGGCAACTGTTCACACGTGAGGCCATCCCATACCCATACCCCACCTCCTTGCGGTGGTGAGTGGTTACAAGGAGTAGTTTGTGCAGCTAAGCAACGTTGATATCAAGGCTTGTCAAACTCATTGTCAAGAGAACACGGCCCACACTACGCCAAAGGATCTGTAATACAAACAAAGTTCATCTGCAAACATGTGCGAAGTTGCGTGTTCGAGGTTTTGCGGGCTCATGATTCCACACCGTCGTCTTTCGCCAACGCTTCATATCATGGTCAGTGCAAATGCATGTTTGGCTAACTCCCAGAGCTCTTGCCCTGGACAAATGTGAACCCGGTGTCCACCTCTTGGTGCTGAAGTGATTGGCCTCCCTCTCATCCCCTCCATCCATCCCAATCCCCCCGCTGAAGAAAAGGGTTTGCAGGTGATATGCCCTTCATCCACGGCTTCCGACGGACTTGACACCGACACTGCACCGGACTTTGATCTGTTTCATCCTTCTCTCTCGGCGATCTGCTCGGTGAGGACCCGCCCTGATCCGCCCACACCAAGCGTCGATTAAGTAGAGACTCGGTGCACTCAAGCCGCCGATGCTCGCCGCCGCGTAGAGGCCTCCAAGCGATGCGGGCAGGGCCGCGCGGCCACAAAGGAAAGAGCGAGGCCGTGGTGTAATTAGACAAGAAGGGTTGAATGATTCAGCTTGCCCAAACACTGGATGGATATGCATGGATGATGGATGGCATATTTACACACATTGGGTTGGTTGAAAAGGTATCAATGTAGGTTCAATGATGGTCACGATGGATGGATATCCATGGAGTGTCTGGCTTGTGGCGAAAGCTAGGCCTGGAGACATCTGACACTCGACTTCTCCCAAGCTAGGTGTCGACATGTGGGGCTTCGTCATGGAGACCGGAGACACTCGGTATTGGACGGTGTTCAGCTCTACCCACAAAATCTCATGAGTGAATTGTGAAATATCCTATAGAGGTTGAACAGCCCTTTTTCGCCAATCCCATATATGTACCCACTCTTTACTACAGTACCCCTCCTATACACACACATATATATATATAAGGTCTCTGAATCTCTCTTGGGTAAACTACAAAGTGCCTCCAAGGAGAAACTACTGAATTCCCCCGGCCGCACCTCAGATTTTAAGGGAGATGGCATTGAAACAATTCTTGCATTGGGGGAGGACTTGTGACAGTACAGCCTTGCCAACCTGATTTAAAACAAAAAATCAAAAACAACGTATATATATATATATACATAGCTTGTCCAAGCTTGGTCTTTGCAAGCAAGTCACCCAAAGGCACCTCGTTCTTCCTCACATCCAAAGCTGCCAACCTGGGAGGCCTGCCATTGACACCCACACGGCATACAGCACGATACAGCACAAAATGCAAAACATTGAATTCAGTGAGCTCCAAAGTGCTGCCCACGTTGCAACGCCTATCAGAGGTTTTTTTCTCGGCTCTCTTTTTGAGGTCTCATAGAATCAGTCTCTTCCGTTCTTTCAAGGCGCAGCTGAGAAACTTCCCCCCTGTCTTGCTGAGTGTTCGCCTGGCGCAGCTCTTGTTGAGCCACTCCGCCAAGGCATCCAGAGCTTCCATCTCATCTTCGAACTCGATCACCTCCACAACCCAATTCGCCTTCAGCCTTCAGCCTGAAAAGAAAGGTTGACCTGGTTCGATAGGAACACCAAAGGTTGTTTGGGAAATCTATTGAGTCATATTGAATCAATGGTGCTTGAAATTTCAGGGTTCTGAGAAGGTGGGACTGGGGGTATCTGGGGAGGGAGGCTCCAAGAACCATCTGAAGAGCTACGACTGGAACGGGTCACTCATCAACATGTTCTTCCAGATGCCAAAATACCATTCAGATTCTCAAATCGGGATACACTAGGGTAGCTCGGGACCTGACTTTCCCCTATTTTCAAACCACGTCGACTGGCGTCATTTGAAGGAAACATGGCTGCTCCTGCTCCTCCAATTGAAAATCGCTCAGTGGTTTCTATAAGACACCCTGTCCGCTACCCTGTCCATATATAACTATACATGTTACACGGGAGAAGCACACACACACAACACACCGACCTCGATGGACCCACGCAAAGCTCGCCGGAGATGCATCTGCCACACCCACCTCCTCATCGCTTGAGATGCTGTCCGGAGATTTGAAGGAATAGAGCAGGGTCACTGGCTCCGCCCGAAGCGCCTCCTGGTCCGAAAGAGAGACGCTCCCTGAGACGTCTCGGCGGCCCTGGTCCGGGAAGTCGTGGTTTGATTTACGACAAATAGATGTAAATGATGTACCTCCTGAAGCTCCAATTAACCCCAAGCAACGCACCAGAATCCCAGGAAAAACATAGTTGCCCAAATTATCCACGAACAAAACGTCAAAACGCACTCTGCCTCGAGGTTCACGTTCACCACCTTTTGCCAGAGCTTCTGGGACGTTTCGGACACCGGTTTTTCCGAGAGCTGCTTGGGGCTCCTGGTGCTGCTTTGCCGGCATGCCGGGCTTCTTCGCCGGTTTGGATGGTGCTACATCGATCACGTGGTAGATCCATGGTAGATCCAATATGATCCAAATAGACGTTACTCTTCAGCATACATAACCCCTAACAAATATACATGTATACGTGTTTGACGGTCCGTTGGTCCGTGTTAACCATACATGCTTTACTAGTACTAGGCGCTGTTCCATGTGAGCAGGGAAAAGCCGCCCCCGCAGGGCTCACATAGCATGCGAACACGTTTCAGAAGACTGCACCCCCCAGGATTCCATGTTAGTTGGGTCTTGCCGTTGCATGGAACACATGTGAATGAATCTTTCACAGCCCGGGGGGTCCGGCTTCCTAAATTGCATAAACCCTCACACAGACACTACCCCTCCGAATAGCTTCCACAAATGGCTTCCATCCTTCAAGATACAGTGCAGTAAGCTGAGAGTACTCCCCAGAAATGTCACCCCGTGTTCTATGTTAACGCTGTTTGATTGATTCTGTCAGTGCAAAACAGCAATGGTACAGTACTGGCCCGCCCTTCTTACAGTACAGTAGCACGGTGCAGAACATACTGTAATCCAAATAGGGCTACAGTACCGAGTGAAAGTGAACAAAAACAGCAAAACCAACAAGTGGAAGCACTTCCCGCACAAATGTCACAGGTATAGTCGTGCCTGTTCTCCCCCTGTTTGAAGGGAGAGAGGATGCGTGGAAAGAGGAAACCGAGACTAACATAGAACCTCTGATACAAAACATTTGGACGCCTGTTCTATGTTAAGCTATGTTTGTGCCTGTGTGCGTTCCGTGTTACATGTTCTTGGATTTGGATCTATGTTTGTTTCCTAAAGTGTGACCGAACTCCAAGGTAAAACATCAAGAACCTTCCAGAACATACGACTAGACAACGAACACATCTTGCACTGGCACAACAAAGAACACTGCCCAGAAACACAATATAGAAAGAACATAGAAAGAACGCATCAAAATGCCTAGCGCTTGATGGCATACACCCCAACCTCTTGACCTCAAGGATCATGATCCTGTCTAAGAAGCAAATCCCCACCCAAAGACTCGTTTTCCACTGGCCAACTGGTCATGACCTTTAGAGGGCCACCTCTGCAGGCTCGTCGCCGGATGGCCTACAGGGGGCCTCTTGGAGTGTCACAATGGCTTTGACGGCCTTGGGATGTCTGGAGATGTCTGGGGTCATAGTACTAGAGGTAGTTTGTTGGAGGTCGGATCATTGAACTCGTATACGGCCCGGCCTGCTATCCCTTATGACCTGGCCTGATCGTCCCCGGTCATCCCGGTCAGCACTTGAAGAGGAAGTCTACCTGCCACCTTCACCATCCAAAACAAGCAGGTGAACCATGCCTTGGATGTCTTAATTCCGGCATCGGAACTGGGAACAAACATATTCCCCACACATGCACTAATACACAAAATCTGCAAGACATGTTCCAGGCAAATAAGGGTGTTCCTTTCAATCCGCCAACCAATGGGCTTCAATCAGCTTTCCTACTTCCAGGGGTCAAACTGGGAGGTCTCTCATGGTCTCCCTATTGCAATATTATACACTACGCACAATGGACCTTCGTCGCATCCTGGCGCGCCGCGTGGCGCAGCTGGGCCAAGGCCCGCCCCTCTCCTCCTCATCAGGCTGCCCAGCCAGTCCGCCAGGTCTCTCCCCGTCTCCTCGACCAGCAACTCTCGAACCTGAGGGACCTTTATGTTAAGATCAGCAACCTCCTAAAACCCAAACGCTCCATGGGACTGGCATACTTGCCGATCAATTGGGGTGGTGCCAGGGGGGCCAATGGCGCGGCAGTCCTATGGCAGTCCCGTGGAGCGTCTGGGGAAATATGGGCCCTTTCCCATCAAAACAGGGGTCGTAGAGAGATGATATGACAATGAGTAATGGACAAACATTCTCTGGCGACCTCTCGGACCGAGGGAGGGAATGGTCAGGGGAGATCGCCGAAATCTCTTTCCATTCTAGAAAAACCCAACCCGGCGCCGACGCAAACCATAGATGTTGTCAAATCCTATACCGATACCTGTAGAAGCGAACCTGTTTGGCCGGAAACCTCTGGAAACCACAGGTCGTCTTCATCTGGGTCCATCTGCGTCATCCGGTCAGCACTTTCCTTCCTTTCGTCTTTTAGTCTGTTGATGTCTTTTTGGGTAACTACTATTGAAGCATAACTATATTGAAGCACACTCTCAGGACTTCATGTTCAAACCGGCTGAGTGGTTTCCTGGCTTCATGGTACCGGTCCAGTGGCCACGCAGAAGTCGGCCGCTTCTTGTTCTGTGGAAGCACTTGATGAGCATCTCATAAATCCCCGAATCCAAATACTATGTATAAAACAAGATGAGTCGCTTGAAGCCGAGGGCATTCAACCTACCGGTGCGATGGTGCAACCTTTGTCTTTTCCCACAGAATCTGCGATAGCATCCAGTGTGTTGGAAGCACCCAGGCAGCGATGTCAAGCCAAGCGTCTGGGAGTGTTCCATTCTCTGAAAACAAGTACCTCCGCACGCGACGGCGAGGGACTACTGAGGTGGTGATTTGGGGTTGCAACCTGCATGACAAACCAGGCCCAAAGCTCTTCATCGAGCAATGACCCTGAATTGCACTCCTCAAAGGCAATCAAATGCAATCATATCTCCACTCAGACTCTCGAGTTGGAGCCAAAATCCAGCAAGACCAAACCTAGCGCTTCGGATTCCACACATGCCTGGTGTTGGGTTGGCCATCCCATCCCACCAGTCCCTCCGAATCACCCCTGCCCCTGCCTGGGCCCATGTCGGAAGCGTTGGGCCACCAAGGTCGGGGCTGACCAGGCCTAGGACGCGGTGCAGGAGACCTCCGGTTTTCCAGTTCAGGCGCGGACCTTCCAGCAGTTCAGGCCTGTACATGAGAAGGTTCAATTTGTTTTAACAACGCTTTTTTTTGTTTTAAGCAAAGGCCGTTGCACGTTGATGTATGTTCAGTATTTACCTGTTTATGGTGCAAAGTGGTCAAACTGATCTTGCTCCCACCGTTGCATTTTGGAGGGGCCTTATGTCTTATGGATGCTTTTTCTGAAACAAAACTGCGCAGCTGAAAACTCTACTTGACAAAACTACTTCCTACGGACGCCGCCTCGCCAAGAAAAACAACAGGGTGGACTACACTCCCTGACATTATTATGGAAGGGTGGCGTGGCCCGGATGACCATTTTCCTCTACAAGACTACAAGCAGTTGGTTTTCCACCTCCATGATTGCTTCAGGGAGTGTATGCCAAATTTTGATAAATTTTGCCTATCTCCAAGTGGCATACAGTTCCTGCTCCACAAAGGTGGGGAAACGGGCCAAATCCACTGCCAGCACTAGGCAGCTGCTCTTCCTCAGGGGCCCGGCTCCGAGTTGGCATGAGACAGACTTTCTGCCCAAAACGTCCAGCGGCCCAAATCCCTAGCAAAATGACTGCCAACAGGTCTAGCCGCGTCTTCTTGCATGCAATATCACTGTACAGTAAGCAATTGGGAGTAGCTGGGTTGGCAAAATGAGGCTAGGTATCTTCTGGAGGGATCATGTGCCATGCTGATGACGCAAACAAAAACCCCCCATACATGTCCTTGGCCTTGACGTCAACCTATGAATGTGGAAGGCAAGCAGTTCACCCCCCAAAACCCAGGCTTTTGGACGAATCAAAACCTGGTGCTGTCTTTACATCTATACAGTCCGGAAGCCCGCATCCTCATCCCCAGTGCTTCTCCAAATGTTCCGCCCAACTTCGGTCAAGACCGCCGCCGCCGTAACGAGGCAGGCGAACGAGGCGTCAGCCGAAGGCGATTCAAGGGATGGGTACCGTGTCGCCCGATCCCGAGCCTCCGAGCACTGTGGACGGAGTCAGGGCTCTTGGCTTGGTGGGATTCAGAAGAACAAGGAAAACACGACCAGTCCCGTGGAGGAGCGAGTCCGTGGGGAGCTTGACCGAAGATCCCTCCCAGTTTGCTCGAACCGTCACCTGAAACCATCCAGATGGGCTCTGCTCCGAACTTTGTGACGACCCAAGTGGCGACTTCGCTTCAGCCTCGCCCAGCGAGGCGACACAAGACTGGAGTGGAGACATATATGGGTCTCACTGTGGCTTTCTGGCTGCAGGTCTCACCCTGGACCCTCCAAGGGGTGTCCAATGGAATACCCCACACTACCTATAGGCACCCCTTGGAGGGTCCTGGAATGTCCTGGACTGTTGTACTTTCTCTGACTTTGTGGATGCACACAGCATTAAGAGTCAGCAGTCAGTGGCACAAGGGCCCCCAAGCTGGGTGGTTTATATAATATATATATATATACACCAGGACCCTCCAACAAGCTGTTTGGAGACCCTAACAGGTGGTTTCTGGGCACCAGTTGTCACCAGGAAGCACCTGTTGTTTCAAAACAAGTCCACACATCTTAAGGTGCTTGTGCTATGGCCGCCATCGACTCCGAAAACGGTCAAAAACTTGTACGGTCAACATGGTCGGTCCGACCGGCCTCTTGTACGGTCAACATGGTAGACCAACCGACCATCTTGTACGGTCAACATGGTAGACCCCAATGAAAATGAGAACTGTATGACCTGCCGGACACCTATAGAAAGCTACAAGGAAACACCGTTTGGGATGATGTTTGGAGTGGTTTGGAGTACCACCCCTCTAAGTGGGTCCGGTCTTCTGGCATGTTGTCCATATTACCTGGAACACCCTCAAAGCAGGCCGAACTGGAACACCCTCGGCCCTCAGAACTGCTCCAAACAAAAGAAACCAACCAAAAAAGGACCGTCTTCAACATCAGAGGTCTGCTTTAGTCCACCTTCATCTATTAAATTTACTTCCAATAGATGAAGATCCAGCCCTTTCTCTTGGATTTGCTTCAGGAATCTAGAAAAACTACGGACTATTCCATACTATTCCTCAGAAGGGGATGTACCCACAAGGAAATGCAAAGCATCACCTCAAACAAACCAGGTTCTCTGCTTCGCCGCGATGTTCTTCAGCTCAGACACTCGGTACAAGCGCACTCCTTCGTCCAACACGGCGCGCCAGGGCGCCACATGGGTTTCGAGAGCCTCGCGGGTCGGTCATGGCGGAACGAGCGGGTTCCGCTCGAAGCAGCGAGCCGTTCGCTGAGCGTTCGGAGCGGTGTCCCATGGGACATGATACCCCGGATCCCGAGGGTCGACTCCATGGGTCGACTCCATGAACACCATCATGGTCGACTCCAGGAGCTCTCAGACTTGGAGGCTTTTGGGGTTCATGTCCGAATCAAAGGGCGGGTTGAGTATCATGCCCCTCACCCCCTGGCTCCGGGCACCAAACCTGGAGAGAGTACTGACCAGGCCTGGCCAGTTTCGCCGCCAGCACTGCAACTCTGGTCGCAAGCCTGGCAAGCAGGGTTTCTGGAAGGTGTTTTTGAGTGGTGATAAAGGTGCAAACCACAAGACGCTACGTACCCCACCCACAGCAAGTCCAGTTTGGAGTAATAATGGGAGGGCTATAGCTCCCTAACCGAACTTTTACCTGGGTGGTGGTGTCAACTCCGGACCCCCAAATATGAGTAGTGGGTGACAAATCATCCCAAGTAAAGTAAAGGTTAAGATTAAGCAAAGGTTGAACAATGTTGAACATCATAAACATGTCTGAAACCAGTTTCCTCCTACTTTATGTCGATGTTGGGCTGGGAAGGCAGCTGCCACCTTGCCCTCTGCTGCCCTCTCCCACTCGGAGGTCGCTCGTATCGCTCGTAGCACCTCGCTCGAGGTCCCGTTCAGCACGAGCCAAAGGAGAACTGCATCTTGCTGACCTTGACGAGCCCCCGAGCCGTTTCGAGAAACTTCTGGTTTCCAAACGGCAGGTGAACCGACCGTTTTCCACCTCAAGGAGGCCCTCAATTCTTGTGCAATTCATTCTAAAGTAGTAATTCAAAGTATAGCACAGACTACCGTTGTGAGAATCAATAGACTTGCCTTCTACAGGTCACAAGTTTCAGCTTGTGGTGCCAATGTGTGATAAAGTTGAAAAATATCTCACGCATGTGTTCACGTTAGTTTCATAGCTTGCATACCGTGTCATAGCTTTCATGCCTCGTCATCACCCTTTTCAAGCAGTTGCATCATGATGAAAACAGTGAAGCACTCACATGGAGAGTCGCCTGTCGCGGAGAAACCTCCGAATCGTTGGACATCGTCTGCGGGGTATCGCTGGGGCATGGAAGTGGAGTTCACCCCTGTGTCTAGAGTCTTCCACTCCTTTCCGGACCATGTTCCACTTCCTTTGTAGGATATTGCTGTCGTCATAAATCACATTTCTACTACAGTAAGATGTCGGTGGTTAATTCAGAGTCTATAAATTTGCATAGAATAGGATCCACTATCCAACAACTGGGGAACTGCGCCATGGGGGTTACGGAGCCTCACTGTGGATTAATCAAACACCAACGATCAGCAACGACCTTTATGCCGGCCCCAGCCAGCCAAGCCCACACAACACACCAGAGACCCACAAAACCAGGACCCTCCTTGTGACCTTTTGAGATTCCAGAATGAGGTCACTTAGGTCTTGAAAAGGCCACTTATCAATCCTGAAGAGGTCACTGAGAAGGTCCTGGAAGTTGATGATGATTGGGGCAACATCTTGATAGACACAATCCCCTCAAGGGGGGGACGGTGGGTGGGGTGATAGCTCTACAGGAGATCCATTCAGGCTTCCTTGAAACCAACTCCGAAACCCTAACCAGCACATGGATTCAACAGGTGCCCAACTTCTCGCTTTCGCCGTGGAGCTCTCAATCATTTTCATAGCCTTCTTGGGTTCGTCGACCATGATCACAGCCTCAAGGGACCAAGCCACACCGCGAGGCGAGGCCCAGCTGCTGGGTGAAAGCTTGGGAATTGCGGCCCTACAAAGGCCAATCAAACAGGAGTGAAGCTACTTGTATAACGGGAGACTGACCAACGGGAGTGGACGGCGCAAAGCACGCACAAAAGAGGCCCTTACGGTCCGGTGCTGTGGATCGTCCAAAGAAGGATCTTGCAGGGAGAGGAGGTAACTACCTTTTGATCAACAAAGGCGCCACTTCCAAAACTATCCGAAACGACCCGTTTTTAAATCAAACTACCATCACCGGCCCCGGACCATCCATGGGACTGGAATAGTTACCAACCTTGGGGTCATGTTCATACATATACGCACCAGGAGTCACAAAGGGGTGCCTATTGGAAGTTAGGGGATGCCCATTGTCTACTCACTTAACGACAAAAAACACCACTTACTTGTGACTCCTGGTAACTATTCCAATCCCATGGATGTCTGGGATCAGCTGTCTTGGGGTGCTTCCTTCGGGCACGTGATCGATCTGGAGCTTCGCGGCCCCATCCCGCGTCCAACACGTCGGTCGACGCAGCTGCCACTCGGCCGCTCAACAGCTCCCAGAATCGAGCATGGCAAAATATGGTGCAATCACTAACAAGCACCTTCAAAGGGGTCTCCAACGGAATACCCCACACCACTTGTGGATCTCCAATGGACACCCCTTTGAAGGTCTAGGAAAGATGTTCACTGTTAAACTCAAGCATGTTGAATGTCAATTGTTAACATCTTCAAAGATGTTGTAACTACCGTTCAAGTCAAGCATGGTAATGCAATCAAGTAAAACATCACGATAAACTGTTCAAGTCACGCATGATAAAAGCCTGCACCACCCAGATTCCTTGCTCATTGCTACGTGCCGAAACTGTCCAGCACGGAGCCCCGAGCCAAGCGACTGGGAGAAGACTCTCCTTCACCAGTTGCTCAAAGCGCTCACCCTCCTCGTCCAGTGTATCGGCTGTGAGATCACCTCAAGTAGGCGGTGTGTGTGTGCCACCCGTGGAATCCAAGGGGGCCTTTTGGCTCTTCTCTTGGCTGGTCGTTTTTGAGCAGAAGCTGCCTGACGCATACATGGCATACTATCTTGTGTGTGAGTGTGTGTGTCAACACCCCGTCTCCAGGGACTTACACGGCTGTTTGATCTCCACGGCCGATTTGCCCAACCAGTCCAACAAGGCTATGGCATTTCGGTTGATGAGTGGTCTGATCAACCGCTTGTACCATCGATGATTTAAACTATTCTGTTGCTGACTCTTCAACTTTCCCGTTGCTCAGGGCTGTTGCGGGTTGAAGAGGTCGTTCTTGCACTAACTATAGATCGTCAAATGTGAATGCATCTTAACACCACCTTGAAACGTGTGTGTGTGTGTGTGTCAGCCATCTGTTTGAGGTGACTTCTGATGGATCTAGCGCAGGATTAGCAGTGTTCTTTTCGCGGCAGCTCCTGGTGAGGTGTCATACGATGTCATACGTGAGGACCAGAACCAGAACCTCGGATTGTGTAGGTGAGCTTATGCCCAAACACTCCATGGGACTGCCATATATGATATCATATGCCGCCCCATTGACCCCCATGGCACCACCCCAATTGATCGGCAGTCCTATGGCAGTCCCGTGTCTGGGATGTGGTAACCTACACCTCAGCAGAATCACATGGCCCCGTAAGACCTCAGAATCGGACTCACATGGTTTTTCATGGGTTTTCCTCAACCCAAGTGGTGTTGGGGGTCCATGTGGTCCTCTGCAGGAGGGTTGGCCATGTTTGGCAATGAGGTCTTGAACGCCTCGATCTGCCACAGCATCCACCTCCACACCCACCACACCTGTGGAAAAGCCCTGATGTCCCGGTTGACCGGGGAACCTCTGCAAAACGAGATCCCAAATGATCGGACTCCCAAACACTCCAATGTATGGAAGATTTACCTATACATGGACCCTTGAAGGCACCCCCCAAAGATCTTGAATAGGATCCAATAGGTAAACATGCCAAGTCCCATGAAGTGTCTGGCTATTACTTCGCTGGGTGGCCCTCTGTTTCAAAAACATGTCGTAGTTGCTCGCTGCCAATGGGGGAAAAAAACCAACGGGTCTGGAGCCTGGGAGTCGCCACTTCCCGCACCAGCCGGGTGATCTGCACAGCTTGCCCAGCTGTCCGCTTACCCGAGGAGCTCCATGTAAAGGTCGCGTCCGCTTGATGGGCATGGCGGATGGCCGCCGTCGCTGGGCCGCCGGTGGTGATCCAGAAGGCCTTCGAAGCGTGACCGTTGGGACGATGGAGACTGGAGAGATGGCCTTTTCGACAAGAAGCCCTCACTGCGGGCAAGATGCAGAACCATAGGTGAGTGTGGTTCCTATCGGTTATTTATGGTTATTTCATGTCATTTCACAGATCTGTAGCATTGGTATGATGTACAAGCTCTTTTGGATCCACATCTGCGAGTCCGACCAGTTTGCACCGCCGCAGGCTTGACTGGTCCTCCCCAAGCCTGCATGACACTCCCTGAAGCAGTCTTGGATTTGGAACATAGGCCCATTGGACCATCTTCCTCTACAAACATGATTCTTTCAAGGAGTATCATTAGCTTGCTTTCTCCTCCTTGGAAGGCGATCGATGTCATTGCTAGCTGCTAGACTAGTCGCAGTCTTGGAACGTGATGATCGATCACTTGAGGAAAAAAAACACCAAAATCATACAGAAATCATGTATGAAGATCTTATGAAGAATTTTTACAATCCACATGTGTTCCAAAAATCAAGTCTAGACATGACATGTCGCGCAGGCTCCGTCAACTGGATGATCTGCGCAGAACACCGCCGCACACCGCGCGGTTCGTCGATTTTGGAGATGGAGAGAGGTCGCTCGTTTAGCCTCGAAGTGTAGCTTGTGCTCCTCTGCAATGCTTTGGAAGGCTGGCACCATGGACCTGAAACTGGACTTGACAACTGGTGAAGCATCAAGCTGTGGACGAGTTTGATGGCTTCAAAAAAAAACAAATGACCATCCAAACCGGTCTCCAGCACCTCCTGAACCCCCAAATCACCAGAAATACCCTATACTAGCTAGGTTTTTGGGCGCAATCCTTCTTCTAATCCGCCTTCCTTCTCCTCCAGCCTGGCCTCACATCCCATCTCATCCCGCCACGCCACGGTGCCCGCAATACCAGCTGTGGCGCCCCCGTGCACGGTGGCAGCTCCGCCGCCGCGACCTGCCGCACCGCCGGCGCCGCCAGGCGCGTGGCCCAGTGGACGATGGCGGCGGCCGTGTCGGCGCGCTGGAGGTCCAAGCGAGCCTTGGGGCGCTGGAGGTCCAGGCGGCCCATGGCTGTGGGGAGGCAAGCCATTGAAACCCCCTTTAATCGCTTTAATGCCTTACGAATTCAAATAATAAAAGGACCTGCCAAACCACAGTTAAGACATGGGAGATCAATACTTAAAGGAGAAGTGGTTGGAGGAAAAAGAACACGGGCACAGCCTGGTTGTGTGTGACACCCTCAAACATTGGGGTCCGCCTGCTGCTCCGAAGCACGAGTGGCAGCGGAAATGGCTGGGTATATGTTACACAGTTTCAGTGGATGATGGTTATCCAACAGAGGTTGAAGGACCCTAGAGACTATCCCATAGGTACCCCAGTAGGGTCCTATAAGTTCACTTGACCTCCCTTGGATTAAAGACCTGTAGCAAACATATAGTGATAATCTTTTACCGGTACTGGCCGATGACTGGTAAACCACCCGGGACACGCGTAAAAAATCGCTCAAAAGGTTCTTTCGGTGAACTCCTCTACGATCTTGGAAGATATGGAAGGTGCGTGTGTGTGTGCGCACCATGTGTCCACGGTCTTGGGTGAATCGTGAGGACCACGTGCGCCACGTGGGTGAAGATGTTGCATGGCGCCTTTCTGAACCAGTGAGTGACCTGGATTTCTGACATGGTTGACCAGTTTACTACACATTTAAGCCGAGGCCTATCGAATCTAAGCCTTAGAAGCTCAGGGCATGGATGAACATAGGAATGCTTAGTTCCCAGTGTCACACACTACCCGTCGAACGAAAGCACCGGCCCATGCTACTGTCCAACGGTCGGCCGTACCCATGCTGCTTGGATTTGCCCACGAGCCTACAGTGCCTTCAGAGTAGATGGCACTGGCACCCCAAGATGTCCTTTAGATGGATCCCTCTCAAAATCCAACACCTTCCTCAGGGGGATTCGGCCCATAGGGCCGATCAAGATCCCTCTAAGACTCTAAGCAAAACCTGCCGCCTGCCCCCCGTCCATGTCGCTTCTGCACCGAACCGACTTCCAGGCGCCGTGTGGTTGGCGCCCAGGAAGAAAAGCGCCGGAAACTCCTGTCCGTGCGTGGGCCACATCGATCGCACGGTCGACCACCCACTAGGGGTGGTCGAAGGCGGTAGTGACGGGCGTTCACGGACGTGAGTCATTCTGGATTGACATGAATCTTCTGAAACCGGCGAAGGTTGACCAGCCCAAGTGAGGGTGTTGTATCGAAACACTGATTCGAGTCGGGCTTCCATGGGAGGCCTTATCCTAAAGCATTGCATGGGATAGCTACATACAGCTACCCCTTTTATGGCCCATTACGTAACTATTTCAAGCCCATGGATGGTCTGGGTACACTCCCGAAAACTAACATAGACCCTGACAATGGCCCCCTCTACCAACCAGTGGTTTACTTCTAGCAACCAGTGGTTTTCCGGGTCCATGTTAGTCTTCCAGGGTGTATGATCCTTGAATTCCTTGATGAACGCAAAACCAGCCGTCTTCGAGAGCCCAAACCCTCAAAGAAACACGCAGTCATCTGCTGTCATCTGCCAAAAACCGGTGGCCAACATACCCTATAGGGCTCCAACCATATCCTCACAAGGTGGTTAAGAAGGTGGTTAACACCATCACATATACGACCAGAACCAAAGGGCTCTCAGCAACCAATGATATATGACTCGTGTTCAACATGTGTTCAGCATGACCATTGGATGCAACCCACGGAGTTCCGGAAATCCTTGATGTCCTCCTATATCAACCGCAATCAGCCCTATAAAGGTTGAAACATGGTGGTTCTCCACATGAAGCTGCAAGCTCCTGGAGATGGACCATCACAGTTCCAAACGCTTACCCTCTTCACCCTCTGAATGTCGAGACTAGCCCAAACATGAATTGCAGCACCTGACTTCCAAGCCTTTTCTTTCGGAAATCAAGGCTAGCATGTTCCCATCTGTTGGGTTTGCCCCCAATCACCCCAAAAACTGTTGCCGCTTGTCCACTTTTTCCTGGCTAGGGTGCCACACCTCAAGCAGAATAGACTGAACCACACTTTTTTGACTTGTTCCTGCCACTTGTTCTCCGTCGCTGGAGGTCTTTTTTTTCTGCTTCTTCGTTTGACCTGGGGCGTGGTACCTCGCTTCGTCGTACCTCGCTTCGGGGCTCCTTGGCCCCAAGCTTCTGCATGGTCTGCTCCGCCTGTGTCCCATCGAGCGCTACCACCTGAAGGGACACGTGGAGTGCGAAAATGGCAAGAAGCAAAAATCCAGCAAACGGAGGAGCTGCATACGTGGTTGCAGGAAAGTTGAAGAAACAAAAACTTGGCTTGTTGGGAACAGTTGTCTATTTAGGTTCATTTAGGTTCTATATAGATGGGTATAGCTGCTTGTTATAGTGAGTCGGGTCTTGTCTTGTGGTAGAGGAGGGTCTGCTGCAGCAGAGTCTTGTGGGCTGCCGCGGAGTCTCTCGTGGTGTGCTATCTTCTCTAAATCTGTTTCATGTCTTGCTCTGCCCACACATAAGTAACCATGCAAAAGCAAAAAATGCATTCTTGCATCACCACCCGCTCCAAAATCACTAAAACATCACCTCGAAGAGTTTACGGGCCACCCCCCCGACCCCCGACCGACTTCACACATAGATAATTCCCATCCACACTCAGATGAAGCAAAAGCCAAACAATGCACCAAAATTCGAGGTGGCCTGGGACCAGAGGCTCGCTGCCCGAAACTATATGTTCAGGCCACCTCAGAATCAAGATATGCGAAGCAAGGGTCCTGAGGTGTCTCTGTGACAAGGCTTTTGTTAAAACAGACAGTTTTTCAAGCTAAATTCAAGGTGGCCTGAGACCAGGGTTTGCTGCCCTAAAACACTCTGTTCAGGCCACCTTAAAAATGAAGGTCTGCGAAGCGAGACCAGAGGATGCACATTGTCCTTCTGTTGCTTGAATGTGGCCTTTTGTTTACGTAAAAGTTCAAGACCTCCCAGCTGTTTCCACCTCTTCGCTTCCCAGTCTTCCCAGGGTTCATATAGGGAGCCAGGCCATTTTCAGAATCTTCTGGATTTGAGCTGTTCGAGTTCCTATTGAAGGGTATAGTTGGCGAGTGCGTCACCACCCGCTCCAAAAGCATCAAAGCATCACCCCCCAGAGTTTACGTATATCTTTCTCCAAGAGTTTACGTATACCTTTCTCGGGCCACCCCCCCGCGACCCCCGACCGACTTCACACATAGATAATTCCCATCCACATTCAGATGAAGCAAAAGCCAAACAATGCACCAAAATTCGAGGTGGCCTGGGACCAGAGGCTCGCTGCCCGAAACTATATGTTCAGGCCACCTCAGAAATGAAGATATGCGAAGCAAGGGTCCTGAGGTGTCTCTGTGACAAGGCTTTTGTTAAAACAGACAATTTTTCAAGCTAAATTCAAGGTGGCCTGAGACCAGGGTTTGCTGCCCTAAAACAATCTGTTCAGGCCACCTTAAAAATGAAGGTCTGCGAAGCGAGAGCAGAGGATGCACATTGTCCTTCTGCTGCTTGAATGTGGCCTTTTGTTTACTTAAAAGTTCAAGACCTCCCAGCTGTTTCCACCTCTTCGCTTCCCACATTTTCAGAATCTTCTGGATTTGAGCTGTTCGAGTTCCTATTGAAGGGTATAGTTGGCGAGTGCGTCACCACCCGCTCCAAAAGCATCAAAGCATCACCCCCCAGAGTTTACGTATATCTTTCTCGAGCCACACATGCACAGCAAACCACAGCTTTGAAGTCTCATTCGTGCTTTGAACTTGTATAGGTGTGTAAGAGGTATAGCAACATAGCATTTATACGGACCCAGGGTAGCTACAATTCTGTTCCCAGGTATCGCGCGCATGAGGCTTCAAAGCTGTGGTTTTCAAGCTAAATTCACGGTGGCCTGAGACCAGGGTTTGCTGCCCTAAAACACTCTGTTCAGGCCACCTTGAAAATGAAGGTCTGCGAAGCGAGAGCAAAGGACTTTCCACCTCCTCGCTTCCCAGTCTTCCCAGGGTTCATATAGGGAGCCAGGCCATTTTCAGAATCTTCTGGATTTGAGCTGTTCGAGTTCCTATTGAAGGGTATATGTTCTCATTGGCGAGTGCGTCACCACCCGCTCCAAAAGCATCAAAGCATCACCTTCCAGAGTTTACGTATATCTTTCTCGAGCCACACATGCACAGATCGTGCTTTGAGCTGCTATAGGTGTGTAAGAGGTATAGCAACATAGCATTCATACGGACCCACGGTAGCTACAATTCTGTTCCCAGGTATCGCGCGCATGAGGCTTCAAAGCTGTGGATTGCTGTGCGTGTGTAGAGGTCATCGAGCGGTTGACGGAAAGGGAACTCGAAGTACTATACCTGGTAGCTGCACTATAGCTACTCTGGGTCTCTATACCTGGCAAGGTGCCAACTACACCTTTCCATTTAGATGATGCAAATGATGCAAATTGCATTTCTTGCATCGCCACCCCTCAAAAATCACCTCCAACACAACCTCAAAAAACCTTCCCTCGACGCACCCTCCTCCCCCAGCATGTGCCGAGTTTACGTGTACCTTTTGCGGGCCACCCCCCCCAGACCCCCTAACTACTCACTTCGTTCGCCAAACACAACTCCGCTGGCGCCTTCTACGAAGGCTGGCTTTCGTAACAGTCCAACAGCCAGTTTGACTTCCTGTTGCAGCTTGGGGGAGGTTTGATGTGGTCCGTGTTCAGGAACCGAGTTCCGGGCAGACTCCCGATGTGAGAGCCACCGAGTCACCGAACCACCGAATTCATCGAAAAGCCTCAAGGAGTCTCGATTCACCCACCCGGCGCCTTCTCACCGATCTTCACCCGTCCACGCGACCGCGACCCGGTTTCTCGACGCGCCTTGATCTCCGTCTCTGCCCGCAAGCGCGACGCCGCGGCGTTCATCCGGGGCGCCTGAGCGGGGTAGGCGGAGCAAAAGTGAAGGTCTGCAATTAAAGTACCACCAATAATACCTGCTGCACCTATTTTTGCCAATTGTTCAATTTTGGTGAACTTGGATCTGATAAATTGCTGGCTGAGGAATTGGCACACCATATAGAAACATCTTGATTTTGCGGAGATTCACCGGATAGGGAACGAAAACAAAGAGACATCAGTGGATCCGCAAAGACCTTTCTGGCATGGTGTGCCATCCTTACCGCCTTACCGATATGAACTCAGTTCAACCTCACCATCTACAAGGGCGATTCCTTCAGCAAAAAGTCTTGTCAACATGCCCGCCCAGCCTCCAAACCCCAAGAACCAACTGCCCCAACCATAGAAACTTGAAGAAACCTATAGAACACCCTCGCCAGGAGCCATGACATATTAGATCCTGAATCCTGGGAATAAGAAACATGGCCATGGCTTAATTATATATACGTGCTAACACCCACATGCTTGGATTTGCCCAAGGATCCAGGAAAAACTAAAAAATATTCCCAATGATGTCCCCATAGGGGAAATAAAACATCATCCGATCTGCACAAGCAGGCATGTCACCAGTGCTTTCCCATCTTCCATGGAACCGCTCAAACCAGAGCAGTTCCTCCTCGATCCTCCTCGTGCAGGGGGTGACCACGCACCCACGACCACCGAGCGGCAATGGCTTGGCAGGCGGGGCAGGTGGGCGAAAAGATCTCCAAGAAGATCGGAGGGCGATCCGCTTGGCTCAAGACATAGTTCAACTTCTCCTGGTGCTCCGCGTCGCCCCCGGGCGACGAGTGCAGCGTCGGAGTACTGGTGACTCGAAGGCGTGCTCGCTTGGTTGGTGGCGGTGCCGGTGGGTCTGATGGTTCACTGTCGGATGGTGAGGATGATGGTGGTGGAATGTGTGGCACGCCAACAATTCTGGCTTTAGGTAATGTGGCACTCTCTTCCTCGATGCTGGATGAGAGTGGAAAGGCAGCTTGTGTTGGCTGAAGAGGTCGAGGTGGATTGCCAAAGCCAGGCAGTGGAGGATATGCCGGTGGTGGTAGCAGCGGTGTGAGGATCGTGTAGATATCGTCGAGTAAAGCTGCAGCTTTCCGGAGGTAGAAGGCGATCTGCACCAAGTTGACTGCATTGGATCATGAGGTAGAGCATGATGGATTGGAGCAGTAGTAGGACGTGCCATGATGGAGTGCAAGATGAATGTAAAGGCCGACTGACCAAGAGATCAATTGGCTCGCTTGAGAAACGATCATGCCTGGGTGACGAACAGTGAAGTACGGTGCCGTCGTGGCTTCGGGTTCAACTGGTCCCATGAGAATATCCAAACAGGACCAATGGGACTTGGCATACTTACATAATCTTACATACATTGGGGTGGTTGAAAAGGGGTCAATGAAGGTAAATATGCCGTTCTTGGAGTGCCTGGGGTGTGGAATGCTAGAAGGGCCGATGCTAGGTGCAATCTACTGGGGTTGGTTAAAGCCACCAACCAAGGGCCTAGGCCAGGTCATGGGACTGCAGCGGGTTTGGCCCGGGCTGCACGAAGGGGGGCCAGAAGGGAAGGACCAAGTGCAGGATTGCTTGTCATCTCATGGTGTAGTCCACTAAGTAATCCAGTTTTGAATGTGGCACTTAAGGCGTATTTGACAACTGCTATTGATAACTTTATAATAGCTATTAAAACATATACCAGCACCTTCCAACAGGTCTCCTAAAAGTCGCAGGTGGTGACCTGTTGGAGGGGTGTATTGTATATATATATATATATTTATTTATTTAACGCACACATATATATATATATATACGATATATATATATTATAATAATTCACAGTATATGGAGTCCATGTTGGTCCCCCATAGAACGGAATGGTTCCCAAGACATGTTGAAACGGGTTCCATTGCTCCATCCATTTGGAATCGTGCTACTGACTTTCAAGCCTTACTAAGTCCACCAATGATACATTCAGGACCCGTAGCCTTCCGAAAGCGAATGAACAAATCGTACACCCATACAATCCCAAGATGTACTTTTAGCACCCCTAGGGATCCAAGTGAGGTGATGTGTTCGACACTGTGATGTAGGTTTGGGGAAGTCCTTCTGAGAAGGTACGACTGGATCCCTAGGGTATATACATTGTTATTATGTTCTTCGACTTCTTGGCTCCATTGCACCCTTTGGGTCCACGCCCCCACCTGACTCGACCGTCGTCGTTGGGTGCCCCAGTGGGTGCTCCACCGTTCAATAGCTCAAAAGGTCACAAGCTGGATGTGTTTCTTGCCTCTTTATGCATGCAAAATATAATAGGTGGACATGACGGTGGACATGTCGTTGTGAGAAACGCTGTCAAGAATTGCCCACAGGTCAGCCTCAAAGGTCCGATACCTGAGGGATGCTCTGACCCTCGGGATGCGTCGGATGCGTCAGTTCAATCCCCCGGTGCGGCGGGTCACTGCGGGCTGCCCCAGACTGCTGCAGCTAAGCGGATGCGCCGGGTGTAATAGTTAAACACAAGCATCCATGAGCCATCCCTGACCATAAACAAAGTTATGAAGGATGTCTTGACTCCCAGATTTGAAAAATCCTTTGGCTGTCTTCCCTGTCAAGAACACTTTGAAATAATATATCGAACAAAATCCCAAACAAAAATCAAGAATACACTCGCCCGAAGCTCCTCGGTGTATTTCACGATGTGCTTTCCCAGCTTCACATTTCCTGAGGCCAAGTGTAAGCCGAGTCTTGTACCAAGGAACCTGGCAGAAAAGAGGGAAGCAAGGAGGAAGGCCTTCGTTTTCTTTTTTGATATCATGGCGCCAATTGAATCAATGCCCTACATGCAATGATCGATGCATCGGGACGGAACATTGAACCCCGAATCCAGCTGCACAAAACTGGCCCCTTCGTTAGCACCAACATTGGTAGCCTGACTCGCTCCATTGCCTTTTACAAGGCTAGGTGATCCACCTGTTGGATTTGAGTATAGGTGCCCCCAATGGGTCCCAAAATGCTGTTTCAGCAGGTTCTCTACTTTTCCTCTGGTGGGTGAATTTGGGGAGGGGTGCCTCATAGCGAAGACATGTGACATCGGACCCTCAAGACCCTCAAGAACTTGGGTGTGCGTCTGACGATCGGGTGACTCGCTCCCATGGTTTTGGGTTCCTAACACCGGAAGCTTGGCCAAAAGGAGGTCTTCCCAATGTTGAATGCATGGCCCATTCCGATGATTTGGACGGAGTTGGGGGGCCCTGGAGGAGCCTGTAGGGAGACTCCGACGTCAATACTCCCATGTTCCCCGAAAGCGAACAATGAACAAGCCAGTTGCTGAGTGTGAGACCAAAGTCATCATGGCATCATGCACCTACCTACTTGCCAAGCTTACGGAATGGAAAGCCAAAGGTAACATGGAATCTGCCAGTGGTTGGGACGTGTCCGATTTAATGTCTGCGTACTATCAAACTGCAAGGGCAGGTAGATATCTCCGAGATCTTTCAAGTGTCCGAGGGCAACAGGCCAGCAAATGGCCAGCAAAAGCCGCAGCAGCACCGCCATGGAAGATGTCTCACCCAAGGCCGCTGAGACAGCAGTCTCGAGGCAGCGCTTCAAGTGGAAAACCAAGCGAACGAAACTGATTCAATCCGTTTGGCTGTGGACCAAGACCGAAAGTGAGGCGGAGATCAACCCCCTACAGACACGACCTACATGCTTTTGGCGGTCCAGAGTTGGAAAAAAGACACATTTCTTCCGTCCACTTCGCCCTGGGACAGCAACCCGCGGGCAGCAACATCGGTGGTTGAGGTCGTGCGCCCAAAGACTCAAGGGGTGTTGGAACCGCTAGCGGCACGCATTCTTTTGGGATCACTCCTCTCTAAGATTCGGAGGCCAAAACATTCTCCATAGTTCGAGGGTTCCCATGTCCAACCTCGATGCCCCTAATCCATCGTCAGGGCAGGTGAGACGCCAAGGCATGTACCTTGTTGTCCTACATGGCGGGGCTTTTCCTTGGATCCTCAAAACTCGCAAGCGGACGTCCGCGCGGAGGTTGGGGGCGGGTGGGTGAGTGTGGGCACGTGACGCCGAAAGGCACATGGATGGAACTGAACTCTTCTGACTCCCAAGCCGTTTCCCTGGAAAGTGGTCAATCCCAGACACTCCATGGGACTGCCATATATGCCGCCCCATTGAGCCCCCCAAACCAGCCCAATGTACTGTAGGCATATCTGGCAGTCCCCTGGAGTGTCTGGGGATTGTCAGTTCAGTCTGCCGGTGCCAGTCACAGCTTTGGAGCAGGTCTAGGGCTCACAACATGTTTTTGACTTGGCCCACACTTTGCCGTCAAACATTCCCTATTGCTTGAAAACAGTCTATACAGCAGCAAGGTCTATGGGATCAAAGTGAATATGTGGGATATGTAGGGTATGTGATGCCTTGAAGCACCTGGATCAATTAGAATTAGAACATGACTGGAATGCAAAAACAACAGGGACCGGGACAATTGTGACAAGAGCAGAAAACCCCTGAGCGCCATCAAGACCCATAGTGGAAAATGGTTCATGTATGTTCATGTATTCATGTTCATGGGGAGTCTGTTCTTCAAACCATCGGCCCTCATGAGGTCTTGGGCGCCTCTTCATCGGGCCTCTGACCTTCGACTGGTTCTACTTGGGTTTGCTGTGGAAGCCGGGTGAAGATTCACCAGAATACGGGGTTTTACCCATAGGGAAAGTACAGTAACAGATCAGCATAGATCAGCATTCAGCAGCACTAATATATTATATAGGTTTATATGAGATAGTTTGTGGTATTTTTGCACTACTGCCCAGCCAGGTCCCACCCTCACCATGCTCTTGGAAGGCCCACCAGGCACGATGGAAGCCATGCTCTTGGAGACCCGAACGCCCCCGGAGCAACAGGGCTTTCACCACGAGCTCGGCGACCGGAAAGCCCAGCCTTAGAGACGCGATCGGGGTTCAACCGGTCTCAACGACTGGGTGACCGGTCAGATGCCTGTTCACCTGTAGGGTCTCATCTTCCCATGTCCAATCCAAGTTAAACTATACCCAGGATGCTCCGGAAACACAGCCCGAATGACTCAACCGGTCCCTCCAAACCGATAGAGCCCAGAACCCCATGAATCCTGCCCCGTTCGGATTCCGGGTTCCGACCGGGGTCGAAGACTCCGCTCCGGACTCCACGCCGGGCTCACGCGCGGCGCGTGTCAGCGGGTCCAGCTGGGCCGTCCGGACCCTTTGCGGTCGATCTCGCGAGCCTCGGCAAAGGCTGCTACCCTACAGACGTCCAAGAAGGAGATGATCGATATATACCATCATATACCTATAGACCACTCTATAGGCTGCGCCCGGACATCTCATCACAACCTTCGGACCTTCGGCCCCCAGTTCAAACATTAAATACTTTCACCTCCCCTTCGGCGCTCTCCTCAAACGGGTGTGGCAACGCATGCGGTTCCAGCCCGGCCGACCCCGAATTCGTCCGGGACAGCACACGGCCGGCCGCATGTGTTCGGTGCTCGGTGGACGGAGGTGGTAGTGGACGTTTAAGGTGGACCAGCACCTAAACACCAGTCTCCTCTGGTAATTTGTGACCTGTTGGAGGGTGCTGGTTTACTTATAAGTTGCGACCTGTGTTTTGGAAGATATTGGTTTTTGGGTCATTTGTGGCATGTCCGTGGCGATAGGAGTTGCAACCTGTGTTTGATGGCTGGAACTGAACTCAGGTTCCGTATACGTTCAACCTGGACCCTCCCGATCTCGTGTCCCAAAGTGATAAGTAGTTGGTGTCCAGAAACCCACCGCCGTTGGAAGGTTCTGGAACTAGCAGTATAGTCAGTAGTCTTCGCTATCACTAGGGCTCCTGTACCACAATCCTGAGAAGGTAGGGACAAAACCCCGTGACACCCACCCCACCCCACCTTCGTTTCGGATGTGGGACAACGGCCGCCACCACGGGCACACCGTCTGAGCTTGTCGGTGGGTCTACATTCGTCTCGTCTTCAACTCGGACCGAAAAACGGTCGCACACATCGGCGCACATCTCCCTCGGACCTGGCCAAGCTGTTTGGAGACCCGACGAAAGGTGGTTTCTGGGCACCGGACTTGTCACCAGGAAGCACCTGTGAAGTCGGGTGCTGTTCTATATTATGCGATCCCAAAAATGCCCCGTGAGGGAAGGTGATTGGAGACTGGCTCGGAAATAACCACGAGTACCTTCAAAAGATCCCTATACGGAGACTATTGTGTCTCGCCCAAGCCTACTCCCCAACCTTTATCTCCTTCTCACTCTCCTTCTCATCGGCTTTCCCAGCAAAGGAGCCTTCTGAGAGACAGCTTTCACGAAGCCCTCCGAGGCCACCAAACGCGTGGCCATCCAATTGGCCACCTTAGTAGATAGTAGATGATAGTAGGTGGACTTATATATATATATACATTATATATATATACAGTATATATATTTGGTATGAATAGTTTATATTGATACTTAGTACATGCATAGTTAGTATTATACAGTATATAAATACTGTGGTAGATGATAGCAACACCATCCGTTCTGGGTCTTGTGGCTGGACAACCCAGTCTGCCATAGTCTGCCCATGTAAAACGAGGGCTCAGGGCCTCCATGCATCATATGGATGACACGGAGAGCCAGACCATGAAGTTTAGTCAGTTGACGCATGCGTTCTTCAAAGAAGCCCAATTGGATCCACAGCTAAATCATCACCAAACAGGACGTTCAACCAAACGCTGCACCCGCGGAAAACAGGTCTTTGCAAAGGAGACCGGCCTTGCTATCTCCGGCTCTAAGTGTCTATATGGTCCTTTCGGGAGGGGGTGAGCCTGGCCGGACACCAGGCCGGACATCGTTCTTCGGCCTGAGGTGTTTGGTCTGCGACGTGTGACACTTTAGATCCAACAAATGCCAGAAAGCCACCTGGTGGTTGTCCTACAACAATGCTCCCCAGAAAAATTGGCCCCCGAATAGTTTGTGCTATCTCACAGGGCTCCTTTCTGAGTGATCAGCAGTGAGGAGATTGATCACCAAAAAGAAGATGTCCAGAATCGCAGCGATGCGTGCCACTAGCACCTGAGTCACATGTGTCAAGGTCACGCACGAAGGTCTAGAATGGTCTAGACACACCACTTGTGATGCTGGATGCTGGCTGCATGGGCTGAATAGCAGCAAATGATTGATTTAGCGATGATACAAACTTGGCATTGCACTCCCCACGTGGATGGAAAACGGCACCGGTTTCAGATGACCTTGAACTCCGAGGACCAAACATAGAGTGGTTTTGCACTCCGCTTCATGTGTATGGTCGAAACTTGTGGGATGCATGCCGCAGAAACGTCGCACCCTGATCGGGCATAGGATATATATCCCAGGGCATCCAGTTACCACTATGACTGGTAACCAGTGGTTGCAAAGACTAAAACCATAGACCTAGAACCACTGGTTCCTCATATAGTGGTAACTGGGCTGCACTGGATATGGTTTGTTTCATGTCATTCTTCACATCTTGTCGTACAGAAACAGGGACCTCGTGCAAGTGTTCCCTTACACTCCCATACTGCCCACAAATTCCCTTCTTGCTGTGAAGTTGACCAGTGGCTCCTTCCGAAACATCTCCCTGGCCCTCCTTCCTTGATGTTCTTCCGCTGGTCACGCGACCGCAGAAACGCCCCACATGAAGAGGTCACGTGACCGCGGCCGCTGGGGCGCCCCGGCACTCGCCCAGGCTCCGCAGAAGTTGGCGCCTTGGCGAGCGCGTCGTGTCGAGGTGCGCCCCGCGCGAGGTGCGTGGCACGTCTGACGTGTAAAGGGCCGATGGGCCCCAAGACACCGAGCCCGGGAAGCTGTAAGGGATGATGACTCTGAGCACCCGAAAAGCGACTTGCCACAGGCAAGAGGCAAATATCTTCGCTTGTTTGTTCTGGGCTATGTTGTAAATCTTTGTATAGTGTTCGGTGTGAACGTCACTATATGGTGAATGGTGATGGCACTCCAGAAAACTGCCAAACCATGGCACGTTGCACGGCAGTTCAACGAAACAGCATGCTCCCTTGGAAGCCATCTGCATTCCGGCTGGAAATACAACTCAGAAACCAAGGAACATTGGGCGATTTCAGGTATCCTAAAAGATCTTCCTCTTCCCCACTGACGGTCACCGTTGTATGCCCCTCTCCCCAACGAGAGGGAGCCAAAGCGAAACCGTTTGGGCGCCCACAACCCCATCAGGTCGGGAAGAACGTCTCGTCTTCGCACTGAGAGCCCTGCACTGCGGCACAGGGGGTCATGTTCTGCCTCACAATGAGGTATCCAAGGATAAGGATTGGATAAATGGTGCCCCTCTCTTCCCCACTCAAACATGTACAATGTGGACTCCGTCGAGAGAACACCTGCGGGAACCCCCTCCCATGTAAAAGACGCACACCCTTTTAACACTTCCTACACTTGGATATGTACTTGTTTCCATTCTGGTCTTGCCATTCTTCCCCATCTTGCTGGAACTTGGCCTTCCTTTTCCGTGCTCTTCC